CGTTAAACATGATTTTTGTTTTGTCCATGTTCATCTTAAGACCTATCCGTTGGGAGACACTATTGAGGTTATTGATCATAGTGTTTAGGTCCTCCGGTGATTCTGCTATAAGGACTATATCGTCGGCAAATCGAAGGTGAGTGATGTACTCGCCATTGACGTTAATACCGTATCCTTTCCAGTCAAGTAGCTTGAAAACGTCCACTGCAATGCTATCCCCGCCCGGGGACTTGCCGGTTTTAAGGTGCTGGAGAGCCATTCTAATCCCGCTCATACTGACGTCCGAGATATCATCGGAATAGTGTCGGATAAGACTTACTCTTGGATTGTTACTCACAATTGCGTGTGGCTCAAACGATGACGTGTACAGCTGACCATAGAACCTCTCAATTTCACTCAAAATCTCAGGTATCTCGGTAACGATGCTGCCACATTCGGTCGTGTCTTTGTCAGCTTCGACAGTTGGCTCTTTCTGGCAGCCAGATCTCTGGCAAAGACTTTGGAGCCCTGGTTCCGCTCGATCGCTTCTTCAATACGAGCAGTATTAAAATTGCGTATGTCTCGCCACATGCATTTGGAGATCTGTTTGTTCAGTTGCCTGTATGCTGTCAAATTTACTGCAGACTGCAGCTTCATTTTCCGTCTAACAGCCATGAGATTAAGAATGTGATCGGAGAGTTTTGGTGTTCTTCTACGGCGGGTCTTGCAAAACTTAGCTCCGCATGGATAGTTTCCACGAGCTTGTCATTTATATCGTCCGCTGCATTGCAATCTTCTAGGCACTGAAAACGGTTTTGTAACTCTGTTTCGGGACTTTGGATTGGAGCACGAGGGGGACGGAGCGTAGACTTCATAAAACGTCACCTCTCCCACTTAACGCTTAGGTTCAGTGTGCCTCTAACCATTCGGTGATCGCTACCAGTTTTCACCCTCGCGATCACAGAGACGTCACTGAACAGCTGCCGTCCAGTTATCATAATGAAGTCAATCTCATTTTTTGTAGAACCGTCGGGCTTGACCAGGTCTACTTTCTGTGGGGCTACTTCTGGAAGAAAGAGTTCATCGTAAAGAGTCCCTCTTTCTCCATGAAGTCGGCCAGCTGCTGACCCCTTGGGTTCCTTTACCCTATTCCGAATTTCCCTACTTTCAACTCACCGTTTTCTCTTGTTCCTAGTTTTGCTCTGAAGTCTCCCATTAACACTGTATAGTGGGTTTTGGAAGAATGCATGGCTCTTGATATATCCTCATACATTTCCTACACCTACTCATCGGGATGTGCCGAGGTTGGTGCGTAAACCTGTATGACCTTCAGCGAATACCGTTTGGTGATTCTGAGTATAAGTTACGCAACCCTCGTCGACATACTCCCAATCTTTACAACGTTGTTAACGAGAGACTTGTGGACGATAAAACCGTCACCTCCTTGGGACAGATGGTCACCCTTTTGGTGATAGAATAAGTTGCCGGATTCGAGGATTATCATGTCCTCCCCCTCTCTTCGGACCTCGGATAATTTTATAATAGTCCAGTGTAACTTGTCTATCTCTTCTTCCAACTCCAGAATCTTCTCGTCAGTCCTCAGGATGCGTGCGTTATAAGTTGCCAGGTCAAGTAGTCGTAGATGGCAACCAAACCTACAACGAAGATTCTTAGCACCCCTTGCCCCGTCGTTACCATGTTCGCCACCGTAGCCAGGAATAACGGGGCCGCCGGGGACTGGGGGTCGTTTATTAGTGTCATTGCTCATGGGGGGTATATTACCATAGTTGCCACGCCTGGCGAGCGGGTTGGCAATCGCATTTTTTTTAAATTGCTTTTTGCTGTTGTCAGAAATATGCTACTGCCCATCTTCTGTCTAAGTTTCCCTCTGTCGCCTTTTACGACACACACGGGAAGATACTTATTCCCACTACCCCTTAGTGGGTACTCTTACCCACCACTACACGGGTAAGTGTGTATTTAATTATTAATTATTAAATGCTTATATGAAAAATAAAGCAGCCATTATGTACTTCATGTCCCCGTTTTTTATTTCCCCGTCAAAAGATCTTGTAAAATATTTTAAAAAAACATATGTGAGTGTCGTGGAACACTCGGTCGGAACGAAGTTCCTTATTATTGATAAATGTATTATATTATTGATTAACAAATACAAATAAATGTATTACTAGCGTCTATTAAAATGAAGCGTCATTTAAAATAAAATACGTCAAGGGGTAGTGACGAAAAAATCTTACACTTTTTGTCGCCTAGCGCCCATCCGCCAAACCCGTACCGTCCGATAAGGAACTTCGTTCCAAAAAGATATATACGTGAAAATGATAAGAAACTGTCCATGGCAGTAAATATTTTTCTCCAAAGATCATAACTCAAAAATTCATCTTTCCGTTCTGATTCTTGGGGAGTTTTTTTGTCACCTGCGATTTTTTACATTTGAATTAAAAACCAACAAAAGGTAGGTTCAGCTTATTCCCAGGAACATGTTGTATGAATATATTTTTAATTATTTTAGAACTATCATGAAAAAAATTCTGTTAACTTTTAAAGTTATTTAATTTCGTGCACTAAACCATTTTTTAAATCTTTTTACCGCTTCCTTAACAATAATTTTTCGATAGTCCTTGTAAGTAAAATGTACATCACTAGTTCACGCACACAATGACAAATCAAAATTAGGCACGCGTTTTCGGGCTGTCAGGTCGACACTATACGTGTCTATACGCCAGTATATTCTAAGTATCAGAGTAACATCAATGTCTATGTCATTCACGAAATCGATGTTCTTTGACCTATCAAAACAGCGATGTTTTGACTTTAACATCGATAATCATTGAATATCTGTGATAATTGAACATCCCTATTCCCTAACATGACGTATTGTCAGGGTTCCCAACTAACGGGTTTTCCCCCTAAATTTAGGGGACAAATAAGAGGATGGAATTTTTAGGGGCTTTATATTTGTAGGGGTATTTTTAAAAACTTTTATATTTTTTTTACTTTAGCTGGGTTTTGTTTAAAAATTTCTGATGATTGCTTTGCAGCTGGCTGCAAATATTTTCAAAATTTGGGTTGTATGTTATCACGGTTGCAATTTCTTGTTAACTATTGAAATGCTACCAACTGTGATGATAATCTGATTCACATTTCAATAAAATAGCGCATCATTTATAATATTTAACCCATTAACTAAAACGTATGTTTATTTAATATCCAAATTTATGATTACGAAACCATCAGAAGAAAACGAAATACTTGATATTTGACATATTAAATAATTTATATATAAAGAACATTGCAAAGCATTGTGCTTATTTTAGGGGATTTCCGAATAAATCCGATTAATTGAGTTTTTGACTAAACATTATAAGGGTAAATATTTTTTGGGGTAGTTAGCACTGCGTATGGCAGTGCTAACTAGTATCTCTGACTAGTATACAGTTATCTGTGGCGTATGGAACGGTGACGGTGTGACCATATGTGGCAGGTTCCTGCCATTTTGGCAGGATTGGCCTCTTATTTTAGCCTCTGGCATGATCGGTTGACGTTTTATAAAACCTGGCAGTATTTGGCAGTATTGGGGTATTAAAATAGAGTTTATTATGGCAACTTAAAATGACGAAAATGGCAACCCTAGATACTTCGCTAGCATGTTGGGGATTTCCCTGTATTTCTCGATGTCTCGTATTATGTTTGTAACACATTCAATAAACAACTTTAAAAAAAATTGTGAATAAAGTTGATAATCTTAAAACGAATTAACACGAGTTGGTTAATATTTCAATCAGTTATAAAAGAGACGTACTTTAGTTTGGTATCGCATTAGATTTCATGGTGATAACATCTTGTTAATAATATTTCGTGGACGATAGTAATTATAGGTGACGGTAATGAAGCGAAAATATGAAAGGGTGTATAGAGCAAAGTGGGAGCAAGATCTTTTACTTTCATCATGGATCACCAAAGCTAAAGATGATCCAGACTGTGTAACTGCAAATTGACACCCCGGTTGTCCGCTTAAAGAAGCATGCCGTTACTAAAAATAGAAAAAAAAGAAAGAATATTCTCTCAAATAAATTAAGTTAAGAAAAAAGCACGGAACAGATTTATAAACAAACATTTACCGTCTATCTTGTACGTTAAACAAAGCATGGCGATTGCATTGCATTCAGACCAACGAATGATATGTTTAATTTTAATTTTAAAAAAAATATAGCATTTATATGTGTATTTTTACTTTTCTTAGTTTAATACAATGGTAAATAAAGTTGGCAGTATTTAGGCATTTTTCACTACAGACTTTGGCAGGATTTGGCAGGTTTTTAACCAAAGTGAGGCAGGATCTGTATTTTAAAGATGGTCACCCTGTTAACAATTCAATTTCAAATTCGGAGTTTTGGCGGGAAATTGACCGGCGGCGGTTTGCTGCTCCTGTATTATTGTTTAAATAATGGTTCGAAGTGGACTTTGATATGTAAAAGTGTTGCGATTTTGTGTATTAAGTGTCTACGCATGTGAACTATTAGTGGAAACAGTGAAACAAGTGCTCTGATGGTGATGGATTCTCAAGATAAGCTGTTTGTTTGCATAGGCACCTTTAGATACCATCGCCAACTATCAGCTGTCTGCTGGATCAAGTTGCCGCCAAAATCTCCCAAGAACTGCACAATGTGACGCATCAACATATTGTGAAGCAGTATACTATGAAGGAGTGGGGAAATTACAATAAACCGAATAAAAATACTTAAGACTTGGCCTAAAGGTCTAGATACCAGACAATAAACTCCAAAAAAAAAATTTCAAATTCTAATCAAAAATAGTCAACAAAATTTCGCGGGAACCAAAATACCTTCATTATTTATAAAACTATTTACCAACTTGGATTTTGGAGTGCTATTCTTTATGCTTTAAAGCCTTTTCTACTGTTAAATAAATATTAATTTAAGCCTCGCGTAAAGAGTTTATTGTTCTGTGTGTGTTATTTAATTATTTTTTTTTTCAAAATGCGACGGGCTTGGAGAGGTCGTTACAAAAATTATTATCGTTCCCGTGGTAAAAGTAGTTATAATAATTCGTCTATAGAAAACCAAAGCATAAACAATTCTTCAAGTTCTATACGGATATCTCATAATAATTCAGTAGCATCTTCTAGGGCACCTGCTAATCAGCTACCCTTAGTAATACCTGTTAATACTGGGAACAATGTATGGAAGTTATATTTTCCAACTGAAGGTAATATAAACTAATATCAGTTTTTCTTTAAATTAAGAGACGATTTTCTTTATCTAGCACTAAGATTGTAATATATCGTAGTGTTTATTGTTGTTTTGAATTTCATTTGATGGTTATTTTGGTTAATAAATATTTATTAAGAGAAATATGTTTTTAGATCAATCAAGTAACTCTGAAGCTTTAAGGCATATTAGTTGCTTCAAATCCTTTATTGTCAAAAATGAAAGCTTATTTGACTTGGAGAAAATTGACCAGTCTCGCAGTGTACCGCTTGATATGCAAATGATTATAGAAGACCAAGATTTCAACACTGGCTGGCCATCTTTTCCAAATGATTTATTTGAAAAGCCAGAACACACTTTACGGCTTTTGGAGTTCTGTTTGCACGAGGTTTGGCATAAAAAAAGTTGCTTATTAATTTAATTTTGCTTTTCATAATTGCTCTCTTGCTAAAAAAGGAAATTTTATGATATTTTTTTCTAATAACATTTGTTTTTAGCGGACTTTAAAATTTAAGGATGTTGTCAATGCAACTATATTATTTATATATTTTGTGATATTTTTGACAATTGAGGCTATAGGTATGCAGGTGGCTCAGGACCGTGATGTGTGGCATTCTTTATATATGTGGCATGCTTTGTGGCATTACTACTATAGCTTTACATTTTGTTTGTGGAGTAGGCAGAGAGGATCGATCTCTTAGTGATCGATCCTCTCGCTTATTGACTACTTTCGCTTATTTTATTTATTGGAGTGACCCTCAGGACAGCTTAGGACAGTAGTATGCAATCTTAGGGTTGCACTACCAGGAGCTAGTAGCTGGATAGGGAACTATGACCATTTTTGTACAGACTTGCCAGGGAATGTAGATTGTATTATTTTCAAAATTGAAATGTTTTTTTAATATTTTTTGAATACCTCTCCCTTTATGTCTACTTGGAAAATAAGTCTTTCAGTGTTGATCGTCCTATTTGGGCCCATTTTTAGTTGTTATAGCTGCCAAACCATGAACTCTATATGCTCATAGTATCAGGAAGGTCCCTTCCAAGTTCACGTATTGTGATGGGAAACTTCAGAACTCGATATTGTGAGTGACCCGACACCCACTTTGCTAGTTTTGTAGTTCTTTGATGCCAGTTTTTACTTTTGTTTTTGTAATTTTTTAAAAAGTAAAATATATTGAGGATCAAAGATTCTTAACAAAAAATTTAAAGTCATTTGTTGAACATTGAGGCTAAAATTATTAATTGCAATCATAATTTATATAACAGTGCTCTGTTTTTGAATCGAAATATATTTTTTTAGCATTTGAAGTGTGAATCAAAGATAAAAGTCAGAATATTAAATCATCAGCCAGTCATACCAATTGCCAATTTAAAAGTTAACTACTTTGGTAAGCCAGCAATTTGCTATCTTAAATCTAACAATAGTAAAAAATTATTAAAAAGACTACCTCACAAAATATGCAAGATTGATGGATGCAAGTGGCTGAGGCCCCAAAATTTATGGCATTTTAGGGAAGGCTTATGCTCAGCAGTGGACTTGTAATGACCTGTAATGATGATGATGATGATGACAAAAAAATGTATCCCTTCTTTTGAAAGTAAATAAATATTTACACACTTAATCCCATTTCTGTCATAGTCAGATACATACATAAACATGAGTAGTAATAATTAATTTGGCCAGATCAAATTTTGGTCACCGGGGTGTCTCAAATGATGTTACCATTTGCATATATCAATATCAGTCTCATAGATCAATGGAATAGAAATCCAACATGGCCGGAGAGAGTTCAGTCACAAAACTAATAACTTCACATATTTGCAAGGCATGGGGTTGAATTACTGCCTACTTTCTGACTCCAAGCGTATACTCAGAATTTCTAGACATAAAAACCTAATAACTGATTTTGGCCCAACCCGGGATCAAAACCTGAGACCACTTGATCAGTAGTTGCGATTATAAAAATTGGTTCATTTTAATGACAATTCCATACATGCGCACAAAACTTACCACTCCCTGGCCCCTCTCAATTTCTCTTCACAACTTGTACGACTTTTACAATATTTACATTGATTATTGGAGAAGATGTAGAAGTGGATGCAGATGTCTATATCAATGTAGAAGATCCGAAATTGCTTATATGGATGCAAACACAATTTGCAACATCCCTGGTCATAATACAACCAAGCCAAAAAAAAAACAACAATTTATGTTTTACACAAATATTAATCCTGGCTGGAATTCAAACCCATGGCACAGCAGCCAAGTTTACTGAACATTTTGCATTGCAGCTGTCAGGATAAGAGTGCCTCTTTGTTTTGTGTATACTCTTATCACACTATATTATGTACTATGCATTTAATATCTTATAGTTATATTCAGAAGTTTGTGCCACATTTAAAATTAATTTATCATTTATCACCTTATATATATAAAAGTTTCAACTTTTTAATTTTTATAATTATTTATTCACATTTATTATATTGCTAATGTAAGTAATGTATTTTTATCTAATTTTTTTTTACTGAAAATTATGTTTTCAATCCTTGTTAAAGGAAAGTTAGTAACTATCAAAGGTACAGTTATCAAAGTGGGCAGTGTGGGGCTAATTTGTACATCAATGGCATTTGAGTGCTCCAGTTGTCACAATATTCAAGCTGTAATACAACCTCAAGGAATATTCACAGGTATGTATTAGTACCTTCACATTTCTGATGCCATTGTATGGTGCAATCCCAAATAATATAAAGGTTTTGAGGCCCTGGTAAAATGGGGTTGTTATAAACTAATTTGCTTAATTACGCGTAAAGAAAGAAAATGATGTGTTCTGCTCAGTTTTAACGAGACCTCCCACCCCCCCTCAATCGCGCGCAATATACCCGTCGCCGTGAATCCCAGTACTACCACCTCCAGCACCACTGGGATTCACGGCGACGGGCCATAGGATTGTTATAAACTAATTCCGCAAATTAGTTTATAACAACCCCATTATTATGGATATCCGCAAATTAATGCCTGATTCTTTTAATTATAATGCCCTGGTACAATAAATAAGTGTAGTCTCTGACAATTTTCAATAAGAAAATAAAACATTTGTAGTGTTTTACTTTGGAGAGAGTGTTCTCTAGTGTAGAGAGATCTTTTTAACAAGCTTTTATTAGCTTAGCATGTATCTATCTATCTATGGAATGGAATCTTTTAATGGAAATTTGCCTGACAATACAATAATTTAATAACTTTATCCTATTATCCTAATTAATTTGAATTATCACAGCTTGTGATCAATGTGTGTTAAGTTTTTTAAACTCTTATATTATTTTCATTTTAAATACAATTTATTCGATAATTTTACAAAAAAAATGTGAATATATGTAAGCAAGAAAATCTGAGCTATCTTTCAAGTCATTTAGTCTAGTTCACATACTTGAAAAGGGGTATATTTATTCAAGAATGCTTATAATATTTAATATCCCAACACATTTATCCATTTATTCTTTCTTGGATTATTGTTGTAATATAATATTGAATTAAATCACATATTATACTCCATAATCAATGTCAGAATCATAGTGATATTAACACTAATAACCTCCAAAGTGAATTCCAGTCACGGCAGCCAGTCTCAGAGACAAGCCATCTGTACAGAATAGAATTATAGTGCTTTATGTGGTTTCTGAGACACGGGGTGAAACTCCACCAACTTCCTGACTCCGTTATACTGAAAGTTTCTTGACAGAAAATCCCAAAAAATCCCAATCCAGGATTCGAACCCGAGACCTCATGATCAGCAGATGCATTTACAACCAATAGACAAACAAAGCATAGGTATAATAGTGGAACATTTATAATATGCGTCACTTTCATTTTCTTTGTCGTGTTGCTACTTTTTTATTTTTTATTTGATATTTTTAAAATGGTATATTGACGCTTAAGTATTTTAAAAGACGTTATCCTAACTAACGTTTTTGTATTGTGTGTACTGGACGTAGGCTTCTCAAGGCGCGACACTTAGCCCGATCTTCGGCTTCACACGCGTTCTGTTACTGCCAGATGCATTGCGCAAATCGTCGCTTCATCTTTAAACTTTGATACATTAGGTATGATTCATCCAAGGGGAAACAGTGGACTTGTAATGGACTGATAAGAATAATATCCACAAAAAATATATTTTATTCTAAGTTAAACACAAAAGAAATATACATGACTTCCTATTTAAAACTCGATACATTATAAATTTCAGTGCCAAATTTTTGTCAGAGTTGCCAAAGTAGCCACAAGTTTGAACCTCTTCAGTCATCTCCCTTTACCACTACAACTGATTGGCAAGTAGCTAAAATACAAGAAATTCAATCACAGGTGATTTTTGAAAATCTTGATAGCATGGGCGTAATTATATTTTAAGCTTTTACTTTTTTTTAATAACTTTTTGAATTGTATCTTTACTTTATTTCTCTGTGGACTTACGTGAAATAAAAGCCACACATATAATAAAAGGAAGAGAAATTCCTGATGATGATTTCAATTAAAAAAAAAATTACATTTCAGAGTGTGTCTGGGACAATACCGAGAAGTGTTGAAATAGAACTTCAAGGCGACTTAGTTGGTACTGCGTGCCCCGGTGACGTTCTATCTGTCACTGGCATTGTCCAGGTAAGACGTGAATAATGTAAAAATAAAGATAATAAAGATATGTGAAGTTTGTTAATGCTTACTGGAATAACCAAGCAGACATGTCTGCTTCATAAAGGTAGAGATAAAAAAGGCTTTAATATCGTAAATATATGGATGATCAAATCAATCTATCGTACAACGATAAATATTGTTAAGTATATAAATTGATATACTTCATAAAATTAGTTTAAAAATACTCATAAGCAGTTTTTAGCCTACCGATGCCTATGTAGAGGTTTTAGATATAAAACTAAGTATAAATTTATTGTAAAATTATATAAATCTATTAACATGCTATTGGGTATGTAAATCCGGTTTACTTAGTACATAAACGAACTATTGATAATACTACACTGATAATGAATATCATTCTTATAAACATAGAATAGAGTAGTAAACAGTATGCAAGAGATCCTATGAAAAAAAAAGATTAATTCACTCCAGCGGGCTGCTAAGTGTGCATTGATCGGCTTTACTGCCGAAAATATGTTCTAGCATTGTGTACAGTCGTAATTCTAATCTTAGCAATCAAAAACATTCCATAAACTTCTATTTTTATAGTAATTTTAAATATTTTTGTGTTCTGTAAAGATATATATAAACTCTTTACATATCTGTCTTTTTGCTAATTTAATAGTATAAAAACACTTGCAGGTGCGAGGAGAAAGTAAGGGAGGCGAGGACGGTAGAAGAGCCGCACGTTTGTTACAATTGTATATAGAGGCAGTTTCAATACATAGTCAAAGAAATCTCAGTAACCCGACGCTGTCGTTTACTTTAAAAGACTATTACGCTATACAGGTTAGTTACATTACTTTATGGAAGTATAAATAGCTCTCTCCAAGTTTAAAAGTATTTGCCACAATTTGGCGGTAAGTTAGGTTTCCAAAAGCCCACGCCTCGGGGCTCAATTCTAAATCCTCAGCTACTAAGAGGTAACGAAAATCATTTTGGACAATTTTGACTGCACCACGAGTGGGCCGGCTCGACCACGAGAAAAAGGCCACGCTCTTACGTCTTGCTGGTGTAAAATAGCAGTATAATATGAATGACAAGAACTGTAGATTCGATAATAAAGAATTCCGTTTTTTTTTTTACTAGTAATGCTATTAAACATTACTAATATTCCCCTTAACCACTTCTGGTGAGCTTAAAATGCTTGTGTTAGAAGTGGTTCACGACAGTAGTCGAATGGCGGATTCTTTCGAGTTCGCGGTCCGCGCCCTGCCGTTAGGTCCTGCGTCAGTAACGCTTCAGTTTCAGTCTGCAGTGATGATAACATATAATTTTGTCTCTTAATAGAATATCAAAATAATAAAATCGCCATTATATTTTATAATATAAAAAAGTAAACACGTAATGGTTCTTTCTGAATCTGGGCTTACGCTTATCGCTTCCAAATCCTAAAGTCAACAGTCACTTGTCGTATCAGAAACTAAAGTAAATTATGAGCTTAATAATTTCAGGAAATTCATGCCTCCGATGACGTCTTTCGACTTCTAGTGCATTCGCTATGCCCAACGATATTTGGACATGAAGTAGTCAAAGCTGGCCTTATCCTCGGTTTACTTGGTGGAACTGAAGACGAAGGTGGTACAAGACCAAATCCACATATATTAATAGTCGGGGACCCTGGGCTAGGCAAGTCACAGTTATTACAAGCTGCGGCTCACGCTGCTCCTAGAGGTACGTGACAAGTAATATAGCTACTCATTTGCTCCATCTTGTCCACAATGAGAGTATGGGGCTCTTTATTGCCATCAATCTCCCTAAGCCCCTTTTGGGCTAAGCTTTAAAATTGGCCTTCTAAAACGTAAATACGTATTTTTGTCTATCTAAATTTTCATCGAAACAAATAACTGTTCACCTTTAATTAATTGTATGTGATGTTCAGTACATGACGTCACATCGTCGCGTCGGTACACTACGCTTTGACTTTATCGGCTTTACATAACGACTATGGTGAACTATTGGCTTTGACATTTTTTGCATTAATTAAAATAAACACAAATGTGATGCACACCAATTATGCTTTGAAACAGAGTAAGCAAGATATAAATTAAAAAATACTATGTATAACTATGTTGAAAGTAAATTTTTTAGGGTTCTGTACCCAAAGGGTAACCAACAGGACCGTATTACTAAGCTTCCGCTGTTCGTCCGTCGGTCTGTATGTCAGTCAGCGGGCTGTATCTCATAATCCGTAATAGGTGGACAGTTCAAATTTTCACAAAATATGTATTTCTGTTGCCACTATAGCAACAAATAATAAAAATAATTTAAAATTAAAGGGGGCTCCCCTACTAGAAACGTGTATACGATGTTACGGAACCCTTTAGTCCGACTCGCACTTTGCCGGTTTTTTATGAACCAGCAAGAAACCCAGCGAGATTGTTTTATTTTAACACGTTCTTTTATTAACTCGCTTTCGTGTAAATTAATTTTCCAATGAGTTAGAGACTTGAAATTTTGAACATAGCTCAGAATCTGGCGACAATGTAAGAATATGACAAAAAAAACGTAAATATAAATAAATAAAATTATCTCAATAACCTTATTCCTACACCTTTAATTAAAACTATTTTTTCAATATTTAATCGCTTATTAACTTATTTTAAATTCCCGACGTTTCGAGTACTTTGCAGTACCTATGGCCAGGGGAGATGGGGGGGACAAGTGGTGGTGGTTTACTATGTCATTGGGACCTTAAACATCTGGAACCCTGGAAACGTCGGGAATTTAAAATAAATTAATATATCTACGCGATAAATTTCGTAAAAATTTGTTTTATTTACCTCAAGAGTAGAAAAAAATTTAACAAGTGTAGACTAAATTTGTTTATGGATGCCATACACGATCCAGTTTACCGTAAAGCGCGCTGCTTGTAGCGGCGTCTAGTTTGCAGTGCAGCCATATCGACTACTCACTTCAATGATTCCACGTTTATAAAATGCCGCACAGGTTGAAAACATGGCGTCACCAGTGACGGACGTTGACGCGTTAGCCGTCTTAGTTTTTTTTTGTTCGATTAACCTCATCTATACCTGATCGCTCATACACACGTTGAAGTTTACATGTCGCTGCAATCTTGTTCAAATCGGTAGAATCGAAATTCAATTTTTTCTTTAAGTAGACTTGTCATGCACATGGATAGGTGTATGGCTAGTTTACCGGACGCCGCTTGAATCGTCCTGCGAACTTGACGATAAAGTGTATGACATCCATTAAATAGTGGTTGTGCACGACGGTGCGTGCGGTGTGTGCCAACAGGTGTGTACGTGTGCGGCGCGTCGGCGTCGGGCGGCGGGCTGACGGTGGCGCTGGGCCGCGAGGCGGGCGGCGACTTCGCGCTCGAGGCGGGCGCGCTCGTGCTCGCCGACCAGGGCGTCTGCTGCGTCGACGAACTCGACAAGGTCGCTACCTGACGCTGCCTTACGCTGCCTGACGATGACTGACGCTGCCTGACGCTGCCTGACGCTGACTGACGCTGCCTTACGCTGACTGACGCTGCCTTACGCTGCCTGACGCTGCTTGACGCTGCCTGTCACTGCCTGACACTGACTGACGCTGATTGACACTGCCTGACGCTGACTGACACTGCCTGACGCTGCCTAACGCTGTCTGACACTGCCTGACCCTGACTGATGCTGCCTGACGCTGCTTGACGCTGCCTGACACTGCCTGACGCTGACTGACACTGACTGACGCTGACTGACGCTGCTTGACGCTGCCTGACACTGCCTGACGCTGACTGACGCTGACTGACGCTGACTGACGCTGACTGACACTGTCTGACGCTGACTAACGCTGCCTGACGCTGACTGACGCTGACTGATGCTGCCTGACGCTGCCTAACGCTAACGGCAACTTTTTATAGAATAACGGTGACAAACGAGCACGCAAGCCACCTGATTCTAAGTGCATGCTGTGGACTATAGACAACGATGCTGACTATCGCTGCCTGACGCTGACTGACGCTGCCTGACGCTGACTGATGCTGCCTGACGCTGACTGATGCTGACTGACGCTGCCTAACGCTGACTGACGCTGTCTGATTCTGCCTGACGCTGCCTAACGCTACCGACAACTTTGTATAGAATAACGGTGACAAACGAGCACGCAAGCCACCTGATCGTAAGTGCATGCTATGGACTATAGACATCTATATCTATCTTCAATAAAGAATCAATATGCAGATGCATTGTCACCCCACTGTTACTAAGATGGAATTCCTCGTTTCTAGTAAAAGGGATCTCCGGTTCTCTACACTCACCATACGAAACACAGCAGCATTAAGCTGCTATTCTACGAAAAATTGATCCTTCCATCGTCGAACCGAACTATTCATGCTACAACTATAATATACCTGCAGCATGTGTCAACCACGTCTAAAACGTTGATCGGATTTCTGCTAGTTTAATATCTACCGTAATAGCATGATATAGGCACAGCCTAAGAAAAACATACAGTTCTTAGATAATAATATTATAACATTATTTATCTGTATTCCTCGTAATAATTTATTTTTCTATACAAAGTAATTACTACTTTACAAAACTAGTTGCGTCCCGCAGCTTCACCTGATTTGTCGTGATGGAAACAAAAACTTGTGCTTGTGCAAGCAGGTCCTAATTTTACTATGTTTTACCTATATTGCAGTATCTCAGGTATTCGGCTTAAAATATTGGCTAGGGGGTTGAACAGAATAATAAAACAGGTTAAAACCATACGTTAGTTCTATTCTATTTATTCAATGTACGCCGCTTCGTTACAGAAGTGCAACCGATAAATATTTACTACGGCATTTTTTTATTGTTTTTTTTTTTAGTTGCTTTTTGTTGAATTTAATGATATAATGAATTCTCATCCTTACATATAATTCTTTTTAATTATGTAAAGTCAGAAATGAGAGGACGCCTATACTTAGTTGTAGGACGTGTTATTGTTTTAACATTATTTAATAATACTTTATTATAGTTCAAAATAATTGTTTAAAGTAGAATCTGACACATAAAAATATTTACGCCTATGAACTGAACCAAGTGCCCCGATGTTCATTCAAGCCCCAACTTACATATTTCAAACGATTTGCGAAGTTAGAAATCTATTGGTTAGTATAAATTATAACACTGTATATTTCACTTATTTTAGCGATATCTTGTATTAACTACTTACTGCTTATTGTGTTCCATTAATGTTTTATTGTAACAAAACCATAAATGTGAAAAAGGGGATAAGTACCGGTACAAACAACGATCGAAGTCGAAGACTTCTCCGATAATAGTGTGCTGTCTGAGATCTGAAGGAGTGCCAAGTTCCATAGCAGTTTTCTTAATATATAACTATTTAAATGCGCAACGTTATTCAATTGATTTGAAACAAAAATTGTTACTTTCTTCGATATTGAATTTATAACTTGACGAAAAGTTTATCCTTCTTTTCTTTTCTTTTTTAAAAATTACTAAGGATAAACACTAGGATTTTCTCCTGTATCGTGGAGGCAGTTTACAAACATAAATTGCACGAGGACAAACATCCAGACCCGGAACAATTATTTGTAGGCCATACAAATACTTCGAATTCGATTCGAACCCGCGGCACCCAGCGCAACAACTCATTGCTAAGCCACTGCGCCACGGAGCTGTCATATCCAAATAAATTGTGTTATCACAGTTCTTTTACTTCTATGATATTGATTTATACACAGTAATTTTATTTATACTTATGGAACTCTAATGAAGCTCGGGGAAGAAAGGTTCTTGAGTGGCGGCCTCGTACCGGCGGATGAAGTGTAGGGCGTCCCCCCACTAGATGGAGTGGCGACCTGGTAAGACGTGCAGAAAGTCGATGGATGCAGGTAGCTCAGGACCGTGCTTTACGACATTCCTTGGGGGAGACTTATATTCAGCAGTGGACTTGTGAAGGGCTGTAATGATGAACGGAGCTCGGCGCCCGTTCAGATGTCTACTCTTTTATCCAGGAAGCCGACAACCCGAGAATCGTTTGAATTTTTTTTTCGGTGGAATATTATTAATTAATTGAAAAAAAAATCCTATCAATAATTTAAATTAATACATGACCTTCAACGTTTTTTCTTGCGTGTACGCATCACTGTTTTCTAATTTAGCTTAAGAGCTCGCGATCGATTAAGGGCAAGTCAAAATCTACACATTCGCTGTCGAACGGCATAACATTGACGCACACTACGATGATCTCTCTATGTACGTGATTGATGAAACGCTAAGCCTCTAGCTCGAATCATTTTGATACTATTTTTTACGATTTTATTTCGTGTATTAAAGCATAATTGGACGTAGTTATACAAAAACGTTCCAACCCACAAGTCATTCAAAAATGAGTTAAATATACAGATCTGCTTATTTTGACATCTTCGCGAAGATGTCATCTGTATATTTAACTCATTTTTGATTGTCACTCCCATGACTGACTTGACATTGGCAGAATTCTTTTAAGAGAAGCCAAAAAGTAAAGAAGAAGAAGAACTCATTTTTGAATGACTTGTGGGTTGGAACGTTTTTGTATAACTATGTCCAATTGTGGAAAAAAAAATACAAAGACACATTTTTCAATTACTTTGGTTCCATTTTTGGCGTCCAGAACATCTTTTGTAATTTTTGTGGCCTTCAAGGGAAAATCTCGTGTCGTTTCTACATAGCAAACAAACAGACAGACATTTTTATTGGTAAAATAAACATGCCATTCCAGGTTAAACTAAAATCTACTTAATACGTACTTTCAACTACACAAACATTTGTTTCAATATGTTCTGAATTCTTTGTTTCAGCATGTTCTGATTTTTTTTTTGCAAAGGTTGAATAAAATTGAAGTACCCACAATGGATATCATTTCGTATCATTTTATTTGCTACGCGAAATTATGTCTTGATAGGAATATTATAGTTAAGTGATCTATGTGAACTGCATGGATGGCTGTGTGATTAAGTATACCTTAGAAGACAACCCGCGACCCTCAGCGCTTCAACTCGATGCTAAGCCACTGCACTATATGATTATTTGCTGCAAAATTTATTCTACTATGTTGTGTGATACAGTAGATGGATAATAATATCGATTATGATATAGAAGGATAAAAAATTGCATTATTTTTTAATTTTTATAATCCTTATGATTCCAGATGACAGCGCATCATAGTAGTCTGTTGGAAGCAATGGAGCAACGTCGAGTGAGCCTCGCCAAGGGAGGTGTTGTGTGCAGTTTGGCCGCTCGAGCTACCGTGTTAGCTGCTGCCAATCCCTCTGGTGGTAGTTATAATAAGTAAGGACTTCACGCGGGAACAGTATTCCCCTTTTGACACCAGTTTTTTTGTTTTTGTTTTAAGAAAACGTTACCCTCCACTCATGATTTGCTCCTGTATCGGGGAGACGTTAAACGTAGTTAAATTTCACATTTGTATAAACATAAAATCCTAGAACAATTGTTTTTAAGCCATACAAACACTTGTTCCGTGCGAAATGTGAACCCTCGGCCCCGCAACGCTTATCCACTGCGCTGTCGAACCTTTAGTCGAGCATTATTATAATGACAGTTAAATTGTCAATATGGAAAAGGAACTACTTCAGAATAAACTGACTGTTATTTTAAGTTGCGTGTATATTATTCTTAGATTATGTGTTGTTTGAGGGAAATAAATAACTAAAAATAAGTTTAACGTCAACCTAATTGTAAGTGGTGATTGTAGTGTATAGACACATGCACATGCGTAGATTTAGCTGTCTATAGTGATCACAGTATTTACTATCAGATGCACTGTGTTCTCGTTTGTTACTCTCCACTCTTATTCAATTAACAAATAGACTTATTTTAGGTCTTGAAATATCATTCAAATAAAGGCTTAAATTCAAAATTGATTCGTAAAAGTTTTGTGCATTTGAAATTTTTTTTAAGTTTAAAAGTAAACAAAAGAAATAATTAGAGTTCCGTAGCTTCAACAGCCCAATTGTGTTTTGCTGTATATTTATAGTTTCAAATTTGTTTCATGTCGTTAATGGATAGTGTGTCTAAAATTTCTATCTATTTCAGAGCTAAGACGGTAGCTGAGAATTTAAAGCTTAATTCGGCCTTGTTATCGAGATTCGATTTGGTTTTCATTCTACTCGATCAACCAGATGAGGTATGCTAATTTTAAACAAATTCTTCTTCCTCATTATAAGAGCCTACCAATAATCCACTGCTACGTCGCCATAGGTTGCCTCATAGGGGGGATATATTATGCTATATATGTCACACTTAGCTAACAACAACCACATGATCAACATTCGCGCTTACTAGGAAGTCATAAGCTCCTTCTGAATCAATCTTATACTTGGTAGAGCCATACTGCAGCTATATTAGTAGTATAGTTGTAGCACGAATGAGTCGGCTCGATCGGGGAAGGACCACGCTCTCACAGAATACCAGCGTAAAATAGCAGTTTAACACTGCTGTGTTTCGTATGGTGAGTGTAGAGAACCGGAGACCCTTTTTAATGGAAAAGAGGCATTCCATCTTAATCCTCACGGGTGACAACGCATCTGCATTTTGTTTCGCAAACGAGGATAAATGTAGATGTCTATGGGTCACAGCAACCACTTAGCATCAGGTGGACTGTGTGCTCGTTTGTCACCCTATCCTATAAAAAAAATCAATCTATGGGGAGGCCTATTTGTAATGAATGAATAAATATAACTTCAACATTAAAATCCATGATTTAATGAGTTAGTTGACATCACTGTTTTTAATTAAGTTAGGTTTTGTTATTATATTATAAGGTACAAATAATAAGGTTTAAATAAAGATGATGACATCATTACACAATATTTTCGTACAATTCTCTCTTTACAGAAATATTTGTATTGACAATTATTCGGTACGACTTTCCATTGACGTCAGTGGAGTTTGGTGTTGATACGTATTTTTACAGAAAGATTACACTATTATAAGCACACACACAAAGTCTCAATATACGGAAACGCGTAATTTTTGAGAAAAGAATAATTGAAAATCAATTATTCTTGCAATGTTTATGTCTAATCTGCTAATAAACTGGCGCCATTTTGTAATGTCATTGTCGACGTCAATAGGGATGTCGATTCTTTCCGAAAAAGGTCGCTTTTTAAATCGATTCAAATCGTAAGCTGATGTATCGATTCCTAAAAAATCGATTTCTAAAATATCGATTTTTTTTCATGTTTACATTTATAATGTAAATATAAATCCATTTTATGAGAAAAAAATCCCCTTCATCATAAAAAAATAAGGGAACTGATTCATACGGATTTCTGTATCTATTTTGAGACTGCTACGTCTCCGGCGCTGCGGGAAGAGCAACCTCTACGCCTTAGCGTAACAAATCGCAGGCATCCCTCCTCGCCTCCGCAGCTTCGGCTTGTTGGTCGCCTTCGGCGACCAGCCTCAGCCGCTCCGGCTCGTCCGATGCCTACGGTTTGTCACAGCAGGCGGAGGCTGCTCCCCCTACGCGCCTCCGGCTCTATAAAACCACTCTAGGGGTAGGACAGACTCGTACCAGGTGGAGTCGGGGTCAATCAATTCGGTTCTTTGACATAAGTTGAACCTAACCTATTTTATTTATCTGCCCTAATAGGTACTGTTAAATAAAACAAATTTCAATAAGAGATCATTTATCATGGTATCTTTCTTGTTTTTCATAAAATGGGTTTATATTTACATTATAAATAGAAACATTAAAAAAATATAGACATTTTAGAAATCGATTTTTTGTGAACCGATACATCAGCTTACGATTTGAATCGATTTAAAAATCGACCTTTTTCGGAAAGAATCGACATCCCTATTGACGTCGACAATGACATTACAAAATGGCGCCAGTTTATTAGCAAATTAGACGTAAACATTGCAAGAATAATTGATTTTCAATTATTCTTTTCTCAAAAATTACGCGTTTCCGTATATTGAGACATTGTGTGTGTGCTTATAATAGTGTAATCTTTCTGTAAAAATACGTATCAACACCAAACTCCACTGACGTCAATGGAAAGCTAAGCCAATTATTCTTAAAAAGTATTTCAATTGACTAAAGACCTAGAGTCAAATACCCCATGAATTGCAATGCATGTAATTTCTGTTTGGTGCACTTACTTATTCAACTCAATAATTCCTGTAAGGAGGACAAGCCATGTGAAATTGGCAATCTCATTAGGTGCCGAATTGGCATGTGTTCGGTGCTGTAACCTCTTGAGGAAGTCCGGGAAATTAAAATATTTAGACAACGTGTAAAGGCCGCAAAGAGCAATGGCAGACTTTCATACATAAAATTAGTTGAGAAGAAATGGTAGCGTCTATATACCAAAAATATCTTAAAATGTTAAGCGTCAGTCCCTTAATAACTCTATCAAAGAATTTTGTACTGAGAAGGCGTCAAAAAAAAGATATTTACGTTTGAACCTTTTTAGGTTATGTCCTATGTCACTTGGAAAAAGTCATGCTTCCTGTGGTTGTTTGATGTTAGCTTAATACATAATACATAATTGAGAGTTTTTAGATTATTGTATCTCTATTATATATTTGCATACTATAAATGTATATTTCTGGCATGGCTCCAGAGCTTTTGTACCATAGTGACATTCTCAGAAGGGCTAGAACCCAGAGCCGTAAAGTCAGTAAAAAAAACAGTGACATTTTATTTTAGCTAGTGTTGGCATAACATTAAATGGAATTGTTACATAGTACTATGATTGAGATAATGTATTATTGTAGGAAATTCTTTGTAAGAGACTTATTCTCAGCCATATCACTTTTATTTTTGTTATTACTGATAGTACAGTTATTACTAATAATAACTTAATATAAAAATATATTGTGTGTTGTGTTGGTATTGTTACAAAGTGTATACGAAAATAGTATGAATATACTAAATGGCAACATTTGAATAGAGTAAAATGATATAAGTCATTTGATATTCCAAAAAATGTTTGTTTTTTTCTGTGGCTTTAATTAAAATACATTTTTACTTGAAAAATCATGCAAAAATAATAAAACTCATTTTATATATAACTTATTTCTAGACGCTATAATTTTTGTCAACTATTTTTCTGCCATTGCTCTTTGTAATGTCCTCTCGACCGAATTTGTTCACGGTGGCTAGTCTCAACGAAGTCTAGCCATCTGAATGGGACAGGATTATAGTGCCCAAGTATATGCGGTAGCACGAGTGCACTCTCTATTCCCTCACTCTCATTGTCCGACATGACGGTATACCGATACGATCGGAGAGAGATCAGGCTAGATCAGGCAGAGACGAACCAGCTTTACGTGCTTACCGAGGCACGGGGGTGAAACACCGCCAACTTCAAACTCCAGACTGCTGCTAGCGATTTCTCTACAGAAAAACCCAATATTTTAATTTTGGATCAACCCGGGATTTGAACCCTCATATTTAGCAACCACGTTCACGACGACCAGTCCAACGAGACATTCGAAACCGCAGGTGGAGCGGACCATTCAGCCCTAAAATCCTCTCATAAATAAACAGATAGCCTGTGCCTAGCTGTGGGATGTTACGTTTCTTAAATAAATAATTCATTTTGTAATTTTAGAAAATCGACGCAATGTTATCGGAACATGTCTTGGCCCTTCACGCTGGCTCAAAAGGAAACAGTTCTACGAAATCTGCCAAAATTAACGTTGACATTAACTCCAGTCAGAGTGATGAACATGTATCGCTAAGGTAGTTTTAAAATTGGTTTTAACAATAATTATAACTTTTAACTAAGAAAAGCTGTTGTTGCCAACTGGCCTGCCAAGTGTGACAACTATGGCAAATATCCCTCCTAGGAGGCAACCTATGGGGATACCTACGTTAAGCAATGGACTATTATAGTAATGATGCTGATGATAATGATGATGACGCTCTCTGAGACCATGGGATCTTCCTGGCATTTCCAATAGTCTACTCTTACGGCACCCACGAATGAAACTTGGATTAAATAATTCATGGTCATCGCCATCTAACGTGGTACTACTACAAAGTATTTTTTTTAGTTTTCTTACAGATGGCGTTAGTAATACAATAAAAATGTGATTAATGAACAGTGTTATAATATCTTCTGTTTTTTTTTAATGTGGATAAAATAATATTTTTTGTGATTGATAACACATGTAGACATAAATCGAAAATACAAAAAGCGCAAACCTGAAAGTGTGATCATTTCTCAGTAAAGTGTACCACAAAAATGCATAGATTATAACAATGTATTAGTAAATTATAATAATGTATTTACGCAGCAAGCGACTACGACTGAAACCTGGAGAAGTGATCGACACTTTACCCTTAGTGTTACTTCGGAAGTACATCGCTTACGCAAGACGCTACGTACGTCCAAAACTGAGCACGGAAGCCGCGAACACGTTGCAGAACTTTTACATGGAACTTCGACACAATCACCAAGGAACGTGCAACGACGGCACTCCAATAACTACACGACAGCTTGAGGCCAGCATACGACTCACCCAAGTTGGTTTCTTTATTAATATTAAATAATTAATTTTATAAAGACAGGTAAAATGAATGATTTTTTCACGCGTTGAATACTAATGACACTAGAGGGCGCTAGTGTAACTAGTGTTGCCATGTACAAGACATTAATAGTGGCGCGTAACACTGCCCCCTCCTAAGACATGCTCGTCCCGAGCATTATTGGCCCCATAATAACGCGCCAGTCGATCCACATGGACAATCTTAGGAGTACCTCTGACACCTTTCTGTATCCGGTAGGTTACGTCATTGATCCTTGTCACAATCCGGTACGGTCCGTCCCATTTAGCTTGAAGCTTAGGAGATTTCCCTTTGCTGCGAACTGGATTGTGTAACCACACTAGTGAACCTTCATCAAACCCCTTGTTGTACATTTTGCGGTCATACCGTGTTTTCATCTTCTCAGACGTTTGCTGGCCCGTCTGTCTGACGTGCTCATAAATGTCATTCATTTTGTTCCGCAAGTCATTTGCATAATCGGTTATACTGCGTGGGGCATCAGGTGGTATTCCGGTGATAAGGTCTGCAGGCAGCCGCAATTCTCTCCCAAAGTTTACGAAAGCTGGTGTCACTGATGTACTTTCGTGAACAGCGCTTCGATATGACAACAAAAACGGTTGTATGTGCCTGTCCCAGTCTCGTTGCCGTTTTTCCACAACTTTTGCTAGGTACCTCTCCAATGTCTGAATAAATCTTTCTACCATTCCATCAGATTGTGGGTGGCAAGAAGTTGTTCGTGTTTTCTGAGTACCCATAACTCGGCAAGTTTCCTGGAATATTTGAGACTCAAAATTCCTTCCTTGATCGCTGTGAATCTCTAAAGGTACTCCAAAACGACAGAAGACTTCATGAACTAGTTTATCTGCAACGGTTGAAGCTTCTTGATTTGGAATGGCGAAGACTTCTGGCCACTTAGTGAAGTAATCCATCACAACCATGAAATACTTGTTACAACTTTCAGTTTCTGGAAACGGCCCCGCAACGTCAATGGCTATCCACTCCCATGGTGCACCAACATTGTACAATTTCAATGCGCCTCTACTACGAATTTGAGGTCCCTTTACAGCCGCACAACTTGTACATTTGCGGCACCAGTCCTCGACATCGTCACGACAGTGGACCCAGTAAAACCGTTTTGGGATCTTCAGGAGAGTTCGTTTAACTCCCAGGTGGCCTCCTGAACAACTACTATGGTACAGCTGTAGAATATCCGGCACTTTAGCCTTAGGGACAACCATTTGCAAATGACACCTGTCTCCCCGACCATTTTCCCATTTACGGCACAGGACTCCATCCTGAATCAGTAAGCTGTCCCATTGGGCCCAATAGCTTTTCGTGGTCGAACTCATTGCTGAGACGTCGCTCCACTTGGGCTTAGGAGCACTGGCCTTCATCCATTCCAGAATCGGCGTAATATCCGAATCTTCCTGCTGTGCATGTTGGAAGGCTGTCCTTCCACTCATTGCTGAGCTGGTCTGTCCTGAGCATTCTCACAGATACCACTTCGTTACCCTCTTGCCTAGTACAATGCTTGCAATCTTCAGGGCAAGGTCTTCTTGACAATGCATCTGCATTGCCATGAGATTTCCCGCTGCGATGTTCGATCACAAAGTCGTATTCCTGCAGTAGTTCAATCCATCTCGCAACTTGTCCTTCCGGATTTTTGAACTGCAATAGCCATTTCAGTGCAGCATGGTCAGTTCGTAAGTGGAATTTTCGCCCTAGAAAATATTTGCTAAAATGCTGCAAGGACTTTACCACAGCAAGCAATTCCCGTCTTGTGACACAATAGTTCCTTTCCGGCTTTGACAACGACTTGCTGAAGTACGCTATCACAATCTCTTGATCACCATTCCGTTGAGACAACACACCGCCAAGTCCTATATCACTTGCGTCTGTGTCAACTATGAATTCCTTGCCCGCATCAGGGTACCCCAAATTAGGTGTTTTGCACAGACGGTTCTTGAGCTCCTGGAATGCAATATCGCAACTTTCATCCCAGCAGAATTGTCGCTTCTCCTCGGTTAGCTTGTGCAGAGGTTTGGCTATATCTGCAAAGTTCTTCACAAATCGCCGATAATAAGAGCACAAACCCAAAAATGCTCTAACCTGAATCTTGTCTTTTGGGACCGGCCACTCCTTGACAGCAGCAATTTTCTCTGGATCCGTGCGGATACCTTCTTCCGACACTACATACCCCAAAAAACTAACTTGCCGTTTAAATAGTGAGCACTTCTTTGGACTCAACTTGAGGTTGGCACTCTGGATCTTCATGAGCACGCGTTCCAGGTTTTGAAGGTGTTCCTCAAACGTACGGCCTACGATGATGATGTCATCCAAATAGACGAGACAGGCATCTCCAATTAGCCCGGTAAGTACAAGCTCCATCAACCTTTCAAACGTTGCTGGAGCATTGCACAATCCAAACGGTATGACTTTAAATTGCCACAGGCTCTTTCCTGTGGAGAATGCAGTTTTCTCCTTGTCCTTAGGGTCAATTTCAACTTGCCAGTAGCCACTTTTCAGATCCAGCGTACTAAACCACTTTACGCCTGTAAGCATGTCCAACGTGTCATCAATTCTTGGCAAAGGATAGCTGTCCTTCTTTGTAACGTCGTTCAGGCAGCGGTAGTCAACATAAAACCGCATGCTGCCGTCCTTCTTCTTTACCAGCACCACAGGTGAACACCATGGATTAGATGAAGGTTCAATAACACCATCCTTCACCATTCCCTCAATCATGGTTTCCACTTCCTTTTCACGTGCTACAGGCAATCTTCTTGGCCGCTGACGAATAGGCAATTCTTGTCCTGTGTTTATTTTGTGTTGAACTAAGCCAGTCTTTCCTATGTCAGCTTCGTTTGACGAAAAAACATTGGCGTACTTGAGTAACAACTTCTTCGCTTTGACCGTTTCATTCGGGGAGAGAACGCTGCGACAGTCTTCTAAAAGTGTGGTCACTCTAGTTTGTCCATCCTTGCTGGGGGTCCCACTCGATAGATATTAGCACCGACGCAACCAATCCACTTCCTCACTAGTACCAACCAATGTGCCTTTTTCTATAATCTGTTCCTGATCACAAAGGTTCAGCACACGTACTCCTGAGATGTCGGCGGTTCTGACCAAGATTCGAGCCACTTTCCATGGAAGGTCATTGTCTACCCTTTCCACGAGTACACAACGAAGAGATTGCCCAGGATTCCGTGGAAGTCTAACCGGCACAATCGTTTCCGATCTCGGCGGAAGAACAATCTTCTTAAGGCTGTACACATTCCCTGGTAACGCCCCTTCCACGAAAAGTTCCTCTTGTCCACATTTCAAAACACCTTGCTTAACGTCGATCTCACAACAATTCTTCCTCATAAAGTCTAGGCCCAGGATGCAGTCGTCCATTATATCAGCCACGATGACATTATGCAGATAGATCATGTTGCCTACTCCATCTCCTTCTCTCCACGGACGGGTATGCGCTGACCGGTGGCTGTCACCAAATTAATGCGTTCTCGGTTGTATGCGGAGTCCCCAAGGAACCGACTTATAAGTTGGGAACTGACAACCGTGCGAGAGGCTCCAGTGTCTATGGTCAGTTTACACGGCGTTCCGTTGACTTCGCCCTTGATGATTAGGCTGTTCCCATCATGGGTTTGTGAGATCGAAATCCTTGGGGCTCTTTTAACATCAGCCAGCACCCGCCCCGCAGTCCTGGCTTTTACTCGTTTCCCTGCTGCTGCTGAGCGGTGCTATTATCCGCACTACCCTCTCGAGATCGATCACCTTCCCTTTCTACAGTTCGTTTAGGGCAGCTGGATCGAAGATGGCCCCTTTCCCCACAGCCGTAGCACCTAGGGCTGTAGCCCTTATTGCGGTCCTGAACTGTAGCTGCTGCAACCTCCGTTGCAACGATTGCAACGGGAACGATGATCCTGCCGCACGGCTTCCACCTCCAGTGCATGGGTCAAAGCGTCCTTAAGCGTCTCGTGGTGCCCGAGCCTCACAGCAGCTCTGACTTCAAGGTCGCGGATGCCGTCGATGAATGTCTGCACCAGGTTCCCTACAATGAGCGCAGGTACAGACTGGTACGCTTTTCGAACCAGCTTCTCCACCTCAAGGGCCCACTGATGCAGGTTTTCGTTACTGCGTTGCACGCGATCTTTGAGCTGCGCACGAAAGACGTGTTCCAGGTGAGCATCGCCATATCTCGCCTCCAATGCCTCAAGGAGCTGCTCGTAAGTCACTTCCTTACCGAGAGCTTCCAGAACAGTTAAGGCCTGGTCGCGTAGGCCTAGGGTGAGATCAGTCATGGCCTGACTTTTATTCCAGCCGTTCGCTTTCATGACAGCCTCGAACTGGATTTTGTAGGCCGACCAGGAAGAACTCCCATCGAACGGCGGCACTTTGAATCCACGTAGCGAAGGTGTTGTAGCTACCACGGGAACTGTAATTCCATCCCCAAGTTTGAGGTCGTCCAGCGTTTTCTTCACATCAGCCATCACGTTGTCAACCCGATTGTTCACTTGGTCGATTCGGGTTTCAGCTTCCGACAGGCGGTTGTCATGTTGAGCAACCCTATCCTTCACCTCCTTTATCTCTTTCCCGAAGGTAGCGTGAAGGTCCTTCCTGAGGAGCATCTGTTCTTCCATACCGCGCTGCAGCTGCTCTTCCAACCGACGGGTCTGTTCCGCCTGTCGGCGGGCCTGTTCCTCCTGTCGGCGAGCCTGTTCCTCCTGTCGGCGAGCCTGTTCCTCCTGTCGGCGAGCCTGTTCCTCCTGTCGGCGAGCCTGATCCTGCAGCATCATCATCAGAGCACCTAAGTCAGGTGCTGCAGATGCAGGAGCTTCTGACGGGCCGGCCTCCGTGGTTAGCAGCTGCCCCTCCGACGTTTGCGGCGTTGCATTACCAAATCGTCTCTGGTCCGTCTCCTGTTGGCGTTGACTTCGGGTACGGATACCCTCCGTGTCGTCTTTAGGTAAAATCGGCATATTTGATCCCACTTCTGACACCAATTGTTACGAGCTTGGGGTTCGAGACAATTAAAAACTGCAGATTGAATACCAAAATTGACACTTTAATTACACAACACTAATTACAATCTAAAATCACATTAATAATAAAACACAGTTCGCCGTTATTTCGCTTCGAAGTATTCTCTTGTATCGCCAATTCAATACTGCCCTGGTCGTGGTCCATACCGGCCTTATATAGGGCCTCAGACAGTTTCCAGAACCTTCCACTGTAGCGACATCTAGAATGTTCGAGTACATATCGGTCCCGAAATTTCTGGAAGGATCTCGGCTCTCCTAGTTCTGCTACTCGACACTAGAGGGCGCTAGTGTAACTAGTGTTGCCATGTACAAGACATTAATAGTGGCGCGTAACAGTATCATAGGAGGATATTCGCCATAGTTGTCATACATTTTATTATTATTATTGAGTCGGTAAAAAGAAGATTTATTTCACCTTTGTGATTTGAAGATTATTTGTCTCCTATTTTATTTCCCTCAGTCGCCTCTTACGACACTCACAGGTGATATTTGCTGGTGATTCTTTTGCGCCGCCACTGCACGGTGATTAAAATAAATGCTTTAAATGATTATAATGCGATATACTTAGATCAAAATCGGTCTCACATCGCCGTCACTGGAGTCATGCATTCTTTCAAAAACCACTATACCATAAAAATACCTTTTAATGGGAGAATTTAACGCTAACCTATGCACAAGAAAGCACGATGAACACAAGGTAGGGAAATATGGAATAGCGAACTTAACCCAAGAGATCAACAACTGCCTAAATTCATGGAGCAGGAAGGCTCTTTATGATTGACTATTTCTTCCAGTAGCAGTCACATATAAAGTGGAAATGGAGACCCAGTTCGACGAAAAATGCTATTGACTTTATTATGACTACCAGACAGAAACCGTAAAGTAATGTCTCAGTGATCACGAGTATGAAAATTGGTAAACTGAAAAGCACGCCGAACCTTAAGTTGGAGAGGTCACGTCTATCTAACAAAGTAAACTCTTAGTCCCCCTCGTGCTCTAATCTAAAGCCCTGAAAACTCTCGAACAAACAAATCGTTTTCAGGGCCTCGAAGATTACAACACAATAAACAATTAAACTGACATGCTCGTGGAAACTGTCAATGCTGTTGGAGCTAAGTTGATCAAGACTGGTTACTGTCTGTTAGACTGGAAATGAAGCTGCAGTCTTCTATGGATATGAGAGCGTACTGGCAACTCAAGAGACATCCAATTTCATACAGCGAGACTTACGCAATTTTAGTTAGAAGCGATTGAACACATCAGCAGAATCCTTGCCAGAGCGTAGCGGAGTCTTTGCCGTAGATATGTCCGATAAAAATCCAACAGTCAAAGTTGAAGACCGATTGTAGCAGCGTAATTTCTAGGTCACTTGAGATTTTGAAGTGTGCGTAACATTCCAAGAGCAAATTTCATCTGAAATTATTCAGATGATATACCGAACTTCAGTCTAAGCCACATGTGAAATTACAGCGGAGCTTCAGAAATGGATCGATTTCCCTTCTGATCTACGTCTAAGTGCTGTTTTCGGGGGTCATTGCAAACAGACTGCCAACCTCAAAAACATTCCGGTTTTCCAAAAGGCTTTAGTCCCATAATCTACACATAAACTTCGGCAAATTGTACAGAAGCGTGAAGAGTAAAATCTGCCAATTTGTCTTGCGTCAGTGAACTATGAGGAAGCCTTTGATTCCGTCGTAAAATTTCAGCGGTGCCAAGTTGACTATCGATATATCGGAGTGTTTGTACAATAGGGCTACGATATCTAGTACAGTACCAAAGTACGAAACCTGTCCAACTGCAGGGAGGTGAAATACAGGATGACTTTGTATCCCGTAACTCTTCACTAGAACTTCTTAGCTAGATTAGAAGTTGTTTTTAAGCTAATGGACTAGAAGGAATTCGGTATCGACATCAATGGCGAGTACATCACTAACCTTTGATTTGCCGACGATATAGTCATAATGGCATAATCGTTAGACGAACTCAGCAATGACCTTAATAGTGACTCCCAACGGAACATGATAAAAAAGAACTATGAAAACGCACTTTAAATAACTTTTTTTTTATAGGATCGGGTGACAAACGAGCACACAGTCCACCTGATGGTAAGTGGTTACTGTGACCCATAGACATCTACATCTATCCTCAATAAAGACTCAAGATGCAGATGCGTTGTCAATCGTGAGGACTAAGATGGAATGCCTCTTTGCCAGTAAAAAGGGTCTCCGGTTCTCTACACTCACCATACGAAACACAGCAACGTTAAGCTGCTATTTTACGCTGGTATTATGTGAGAGCATGGTCCTACCCCGGTCGAGCCAACCCATTCGTGCTACAACCATAATATAGCTGCAGCATGGCTCTACCACGTATAAATGGTTTGAAGACACTATTTAAGTAGATTGTAATTATATAATGTTTTTTTTTACGTACCAGAGCCACGTTGTAGCCGTATTAAATATGGATCGGCTCGACCAGGGAAAGACCAGACTCTCACGAAATAGCAAAACAATGCTACTTTGTAGGAACACAGGGAACCACATATTCTTTTTATTACCAATAAGGCATTACATCTTAGTCCTTAGAGGTGATAACACATCTACATTTTGATTCCTCATTGCGGAAAGATAAAGAAATCTACGAGTTTATGTATGGTGGACTGTATGCTAAGCTTACGTCCTTATATAGTTAAAAATTAATGTGAAACTGTGGTAAACTACTTCTTATCGTAAAGTTCGACATTAGTTACACATACATAAATGAAATGGTTATTAATATTGTAGACTTACGCTGTGTTCAAAATGTATACTACATCATATAATAGTGTTACAATAATCACTAATGTTTAAATTCAAAAACTGGGGAGAACCAAATGTTTATGAATAAAATTAACATTTTGTAGGCTCGAGCACGAGCAGAGTTACGCGAGGAGGCGACGGCAAAAGATGCCAATGACGTCATCAGTTTAATAAAGCATAGCTTAGTTGATACTTTTAGTGACGAGTTTGGTAACATTGAGTTATCAAGATCAATAAATGGGTCCGGTATAAGTTCAAGGAGTAAGGTGAGTTGGAACTTTTTTTTAATTCATCAACTAAGGAGTGACTCAACGGTCGTCGTACTTGTTTGAGTAATATTTCTAGAGTTCGAATACTAGCATAAGCAATTAAACAAAACACAAAGTACGAATCTTCAAGTCTGGATAAATTGTGATTGTCCTCGTATTATAAATACTGTATCCAAAATGCCATGACTAACCATCTGAAGAACGTGTATATCGGTGCACCCGTAGCGCCATCTAGTGTCTGTTATCTGAAAACTTTACCCGTTGTAATTTTAACATGTAATAAAAATGTTAAATTAAAATAATATATTCAAGTTATATTTATTTAAGAAATAATAATTTCAATAATGTGTAATTTCAATTTGTCAGACTATGAGTATAATTATTTTAACTAAAACTAAAGCAGATATAAGGTGCAACAGTGGGTGCGGCATAAGTCTTGTGCTCTCGAATTTCATTTCATTATGTTGCTTCCTGGAGAAGCGTCAATATAAACACATGCGATCGTCCGATCGTGTCTATTGGACGGTAAATACTAAATACTTACACTGACGACGGGTAAGTTTCAAAGAAGCACGAAATCCGGTAAATAGGAATCCTGCCAAGCGTGGCGATGAGAGCACCCTTCCATCCATGTCCAGCACTTCTTGTTTTTCATCAACCCGTAACAATTTAACGGTGGTAGAGCCTTGCAGCAGCTTTTGCTGTTGCACGTATGGGCCGGCTCGAGCCGGGTTAGTACCACGACCTCACAGAATACCGGCGTGAAGCGGAAGCTCTGCTTCCGCGTTTCGTCTGGTGAGTGCAGGTGACCGGAGGCCCAATTCCCCCCCCCCCCCCCCCCCCATCAACATGGTAGCGGAATTACGTCATAAACTACCCCAGGAGGGTACCAGTACCCCTGGAGAATCCCTCGCTGAGCATCCACGACCATGCTATTCCACTCCTGAGCGTGGGTGCTCAGGCTGCCCCGCGTATTCTGGGGGGGGCAAAATTCCGCTCAACACAATAACTGCTCGGGGCAAACTGAGCAACAAGACCAAGGCGACCCTTGCCACGCTATCCGTGAATTTCTGCAACATCAGGGGACTTCACTCGAACCTAAACGCCGTCCACTACCATCTTGAGACGGCGAAGCCGGCCTTGCTCTTTCTGACCGAGACGCAGGTGTCCTCTCCGGCTGATACTTCGTATCTCTCCTATCCGGGGTACAAATTGGAGCACTCCTTTGTGCCTCGGGCTGGAGTTTGCGTGTATGTCAGAGAGGACATCTGTTCTCGACGCCTCGGCAGTCTTGAAGGTTCGGACCTGTCCATCCTTTGGCTACGCGTAGACAGCGACGACCATCCGCGCGTCTACGCGTGCCTCTATAGGTCCCATAGCGGTAATGCCGAAACAGACCGACTCATCGACCACGTCCAAATGGCTACAGATTCCTTGCTACAACAGGTCCCATCCGCAGAGATCGTGATCCTTGGCGATTTTAACGCCCACCATGCCGAATGGCTCGGTTCACGTTTAACCGATCATGCGGGGAGATCTGTTTATGACTTTGCCTTGGCATATGGTCTGACACAACTGGTTACATCGCCTACGCGAATTCCAGATGTTGAGGATCATACACCTTCCCTGTTGGACCTTCTGCTGACCTCTCATCCGGACGGATATCAGGTTTCCGTCGATGCCCCTCTTGGCTCTTCGGACCATTGTCTGATCCGGAGTGTGGTGCCACTCACGCTCCCCTCGCGGTTGCGTTCTGCAGGTTGCCGCCGTGTTTGGCATTACAGGTCGGCGGATTGGGACGGAATGCGGTCTTTCTTTGCTTCCTACCCATGGACGGCGAGAAGCGGGTTTGCTTCTCGCCGGATGATCCCAGCGCTGTTGCTGACTCTGTCACTGATGTGGTGCTACAGGGAATGGAACTATTTATTCCATCATCTGTGGTACCCATCGGAGGCAGATCTCAGCCTTGGTTTGGTCGCTCCTGTAAGACTGCATTACGCAGTAAGCAGGAGTGTTATCAAGCCTGGGCTGCGGCTTCGGTGACTCGGGATGTAAACACCAGCACACTCAAAAAGAAGTATAACTTCGCCTCCAGGTCCTTCAAAAGAGTTATTGCCAAGGCAAAGTCAGAGCACATAGGCAGAATTGGCAAGAAACTAGTTCGCCTTCCTTCGGGAACCCGTGCATTCTGGTCTCTCGCCAAGGCTGTCCAAGGGAATTTCTGTAAGCCATCACTACCATCTCTGCACAGGGAGGACGACTCACTGGCCCACGACGCAAAAGAGAAGGCCGACCTTTTAGGCTTCCTTTTTGCGTCCAACTCGACTGTTGATGATGGGGGGAACACACCGCCGACCATCCCGCGGTGTGAGTGCTCCATGCCGGATGTGCGGTTCTCACAGCGCTCGGTTCGCAGAGCACTCCTCTCCCTTGACATCCACAAGTCGAGTGGGCCTGACGGAATCCCCCCAATTGTGCTGAGGACGTGTGCTCCGGAGTTGGCACCGGTTCTAACGCGTCTTTTCCGGTACTCCTACTCCCTAGGCGTAGTCCCAAAATCATGGAAGACAGCTTTTGTCCACCCGATCCCCAAAAAAGGCGACCGCTCAGACCCGTCCAACTAAAGGCCTATCGCCATCACCCCCTTGTTCTCCAAAATAATGGAATCCGTTGTAAACTGCCACCTCATGCGGTACCTTGAGGATCACCAGCTGATTAGTGACCGCCAGTACGGTTTTCGTCGGGGTCGATCAGCTGGTGATCTTCTGGTCTACTTAACTCATAGATGGGCGTTGGCAGTAGAGTTCAAGAGGGAGGCATTGGCCGTTAGTTTGGACATTGCGAAGGCCTTCGATCGGGTCTGGCACAAAGCGCTTCTTTCGAAGCTCCCTTCCTATGGGCTTCCCGAGAAATTATGCAATTGGATCACCAGCTTTCTTGCAGATCGGAGCATCAAGGTCGTTGTAGACGGTGCATGTTCCGAGTACAAGCCTATTAACGCTGGTGTTCCACAAGGCTGCGTGCTATCACCAACGCTGTTTCTTCTGCATATCAATGATATGTTGCAAGCCGGTAGCATTCATTGCTATGCGGATGACAGCACTGGTGATGCTCTATACACCGGCCGTGCCAATATTTCTCGGGAAAACGTCACTGAGTACCGGAACAAACTTGTGTCTGAAGTCGAGTCTTTGCTGGACAAAGTCTCGGATTGGGGGCGACTAAATCTAGTCCAGTTTAATCCTCAGAAGACACAAGTTTGCGCGTTTACCGCTAAAAAGAACCCCTTTGTCGTATCTCCTCAGTTTCAAGGTACTCCCCTTGTTGCCTCAGCCAGTATCGGAATCCTCGGCGTCGACATATCGAGTAGCGTGCAGTTTCGTGGTCACTTGGAAGAGAAGGCCAAATTGGCCTCTAAAAAGCTTGGCGTGCTCAGCAGAGCGGTACAGTATTTCATGCCGGCTCAACGCCTGCAACTTTACAAGGCGCAGGTTCGGCCTCACATGGAATACTGTTCCCATCTCTGGGCTGGGGCTCCCCAGTGCCAGCTTCTTCCACTTGACCGCATCCAGCGCAGAGCGGCTCGAATCGTCGACGACCGAGTCCTTTCCGATCGGCTCGACTCATTGGCACTGCGAAGAGATGTTGCATCTCTTAGCATTTTCTTTCGCATTTACCATGGGGAGTGCTCTGAGGAATTGTTCGGATTAATCCCAGCCGCCAAATTTCACGAACGCACATCGCGGCAGAACTCCCGATACCATCCACACCATCTGGATGATTGGCGGTCCACCACTGTGCGATTTAGAAGATGTTTTCTTCCTCGCACAACTTCCTTGTGGAATAGTTTACCACCAGCGATTTTTCCGGACCGATACGACTTAGGGACCTTCAAGAAAAGAGCCTACTCCTTTTTAAAAGGCCGGCAACGCATCTGCAATTCCCCTGGTGTTGCGGTTGTTCATGGGCGGCGGTAGTCACTTACCATCAGGTGAGCCGCATGCTCGTTTGCCCCCTCTCCTATAAAAAAAAAAAATTTTTAAACGTTACCACCACACTAGGATTTTCTCCTGTATCGTGGAGGTAGTTTACAAATATAGATTGCACGAGGACAAACATCCAGACCCGGAACTATTACAATACTTATACTTGTTCCGTGCGGGATTCGAACCCGCAGCCACCAGCGCAACAACTCATTGCTAAGCCACTGCGCCACGGAGCCGGCTTGTTATAAAAGTGATATAGTAGTTGACATCACATAAAAATATAATAGTTATACATATTTTTAATCCAAAAAATTGTGACGAAATTTCACTGTGTTGGGTGATCCTACATTAGATAGAGACGACCTAGTGAAATATGCAAGAAATTGATGGATACAGGTGACTCGGACTGCTTTGTGGCAATCTACAGGGAAGATAGCCTATGTCCAACAGTGCAACTATGATGGGTCTGCTATGATGATTAATTTATTTATAATGAATAATAATATAATATTATAAAGAGTGCGAATTTGTGAGTTTGTATATATATGGAGGGTAATCTCTATTTGGAAAATTCTTTCACCATTTGGAAGGTACATTATTCCAGATAGACATAGGCTATATATTATGTGTCTACATATTATGGCTAAAAGTTATGATGATATTTGTTAACTAAGTCTAAAAAAGTCGTCCCCTTTGAGAGCTTCCACAGCATGCGGTGCGTCAATAATTAAAGTTGCACGATAATAATGTATGGCTGAATTGTTCGCATGTAGTAACATTTAAATTTAATTATACCTACTTAACATTTATGATTTGTTTTTTTGCTCGTCCTCCGTTATCGCTAAAGCCTATTAAAGTCCACTGCTGAACATAGGCCTACCACATAAATTGCCTCATAGGGGAGATATTTGCCATAGTTGCCACACTTGGCAAACGGGTTGGCAACGGCAGTTTATTTTTATTTTTATTCGTTATTAAGAAGACGCTGCTGCCCATCTGATTTGTTTCGCTCTTGCGACACCCACGGGATTTAGCATAGTGGAATATTTTTACGCTTAAGTGAACAGTAGATGCGAGTGACGACCTGTTGTTTCAGTTGAAAAAGTTTTTGGACGCACTAACAAGACGTTCTCATCAACTGGGTAAAGACGTATTCACAAGACAAGAAATGATTCAGATACATAAGGCCGCGGGTGTAGCAGGGGATCCTAACGAATTGATTGAAGCTATGCATCTACATTCTTATCTACTGCTTAAAGGTTCTAATACATACCAATTAATTGCTATTTAAGATGTTATTTAATGTTAAATAAATTAATTATTATTAATACCTTTTTTATTTACTTTTTGTCTGTACATATACTTGTGACACTATCAACTGCATAGTTGATAGCTTTTTAAAATTTTTTTGGAAGTTATCTCCATGGTCAAAAGCCACGTTTGGCAATAGGCAATATATAATTGGCTATCGCAATTCTCGCCATCACAGGTTCAAATATTTTTACATCTGCTATAACATGAAGGTAAACTACCATCTTTGGGAGATCATGAGGTGTTCCTATTTTCCCTGTAGCGGGTGGAAGGAAAAGGGGAGATCTCCCGCCGGGCAAGGTGTTCTGCCCGAGGAGCAGCTTACGCTCCTGTTGATAGTTCGGAGCTATTCTATATATTATGCTACTTTAACTTCGAAAATTTGTTAGTGCGATTTAGGATTTGATGTGTTTCCCTTGTGGCGCGACGACAGCGCCGCCACATTCCCTATAACGCCTCTTCGATACCCACAGTTGACGAATATACAACCACACGGCTCATCACAACTTTAACCTATTCTTGCTGCTTAACTGGGAAACTGGGAATGGTATCATCGGTGTAACGTGTTCTAGTTAGACGAGTAAACAGATGCATATTTTTTTTTATAGGATAGGGTGACAAACGAGGTAAGTGGTTGCTGTAGCCCATAGACATCTACATCTATCCTCGTTTGCGAATCAAAATGCAGATGCGTTGTCACCCGTGAGGACTAAGATGGAATGTTTTTTCCAGTAAAAATGGGTCTCCGGTCATCTACACTCACCATACGAAACATAGCAGCATGAAGCTGCTATTTAACGCTGGTATTCTGTGAGAGCGTGGTCCTTCCCCGGTCGAGCCGACCCATTCCTGCTACAACTATACTACTAATATAGCTGCAGCATGGCTCTATCACGTAAGAAAAAAATTAGCGTTCCACCTCAACCCAAGGGGCAATGCATTTAAGACCTAAATATATATAGAATAATTTATTAGCAGGTGTCTTTGGGCTGTAATAGTAAATTTTTCATTCATTTTTAATAAAATGTAAGAAATACGTCTTTAATTTCTTGGCTTAAAACGTCTAACTGCAACTATAAAAAAATATAGCTACTAAAAATTGTTCATTTAATGTGAACCCGTGGTAATTTAATTCCCATGCGCATAAGCCATAATACTATAGTGCATGTTTGAAAATTGGCACTGAAATAGCAAAGGATAATTATAAATTTTACGCCTTGTCGTTACTGAATACTTATCAGCAAATTGGAATTGAGTTATAAAACATAGCTCAAAGCAGTGACAAAAAATTAATTTCTTGAAAATTCAAGAATTAGCGGAATTTGTCACCATTACTTAACATAAACACTCACGCCTGTCACCCAGAGGTGTAGGCAGAGACTACGGACTTCCATTTGGCACGACCCTGACAACTCTCTCGCTTCCTTTACATCCAAATATCTACGTATACACGCTCGTCGGTTAAGGGTACTCCTAATCTGGCCCATTTCCAATATATCGCCAATTCGGTCGTAAACCTTCGTCTAGGGCTCTAGGGCGTCACTTCCCGACTTTGCCGTTCATATCGGTAATATAAATTTGCTTTGTCACTCTTTCCTCGTTCATTCTTTCTAATGACCAAACAACCGAAGCATTCCTTTCTTAATCCTGGTCACAAAATCATCATGCAAACCACATTTTTATCTTATCACACAATTTCTCAACCTGTCATTCAGATTCAGCCCTAGCATACTCCTTAATGGACGTATTTCTACAGCATTTATTCTACTCTCGTGATTCTTCTGCCACACCCAACTCTCACGACCATATATTAAAGTAGGGACTAACACAGCATTATGAATTGCCATACATGCCTTTTTTGACACATTATGACTTCATAATAGAGTGTAGAGCCTCATTCACTCTATTTTTTGCGGTCATTCCTCGTTCTATATACTTACGAGGGTGGGTCAATAAGTCCGTGACTTTTGGAATAAAACACAGATTTTTTGATAAATAAATCATTTTATTTTTCAACGTAGTCTCCCTTGAGCGCTACACTTTGTCCAACGCTACTCCAATTTTTTTATCCCTTCCAAAAAATATGATTTGTCGAGGTCCTCAAAATAGGCCTTTGTTTGCGAGATGACTTCATCATTGGAGTCAAATCTTTTTCCACCAAGCCATTTCTTCAGGTTTGGGAACAAAAAGTAGTCACTCGGAGCCAAATCTGGAGAATAGGGCGGATGAGGGAGCAATTCATAGCCCAATTCATGGATTTTTGCCATGGCAACTGCACATGTGTGCACCCTTGCATAGTCTTGGTGGAAAAGAACTTTTTTCTTGGCCAAATGAGGTCGGTTTTTTTTTTCAAATTGTCACTGAATCGGTCCAATAAGTTAGCATAATATTCCCCATTGATTGTTCTTCCCTTTTGAAGGTAGTCAATGTGGATTATCCCGCTTGCATCCCAAAAAACAGTCGCCATAATTTTATTGGCTGACAAACCCACCTTGGCCTTCTTTGGCGCCGATTCACCCTTAGAAACCCACTGTTTTGACTGTTGTTTGGTCTCTGGTGTGTTGTAATGGATCCATGTTTCGTCCACGGTTACAAAACGACGCAAAAACTCCATATTGCGATTAAACAACGCCAAACCTTCCTGTGAAGTTGTTACACGATTGCGTTTGTGGTCGACTGTGAGCAAACGCGGCACCCATCTTGCGGAAAGCTTTCTCATGCCCAAGTGATCATTCAAAATTGAAACCCCTGAGCCATGCGAGATCCCTACGGCTTCCACAATCTCTTGCACTTTCAATCTTCGGTCGGCCAATTGTTTTGGGTGAAGAGACCTCAACTGGGCGTCCAGGACGTTTGGCATCTTCAGTGCTTGTACGGCCGCAACGAAATTCAGTAAACCACTTTTTTACCATTGAAATCGATGGTGCAGAGTCCCCATAGTATTTATCAAGCTTAGCCTTGGTCTCAGTAATGGTTTTTTTTTCGCAAAAAATAATGCTTAATAAGCACACGAAATTCACTTTTTTCCATTTTTTCCTCAAATTACTAGGTAGTCTGATAAAGATAGCTGTCAAACACAAACTAACTGACGCAGCAAGTTCAAATTTTGACAGGAGTCAACTGACAGATGCCTGTAGACAGGAGTAGTGTTGCTTTTTCAGTAAAGAGATCAGAAATTCAAAAAGTCACGGACTTATTGACCCGCCCTCGTATCATATCTACCATCCCTGCTAAATACACATCCCAAATACACAAACTCATGCACTTGCTCAATCTCCCTTTCTATTCTTATTTCACATAACGTTGTACTTTCTTCTCTTTCAAAAACGATCACTTTCGTCTTACTTGCATTCACTTTCATTCCCCCTTTTTTTTAATGACCAGTTGATTAATGTAACCATCATTTGCAACTCGGCTGCCGACGATACAAATAATACTTGATCATCGGCGTACAAAAGGCATTTCACAGTTTCAAACAACTTTCAAAGTTTCCAAACAACTGCCTACAGCTACACAGCCCTGTCTGACACCTTTTTGGATGCCAAACCAGTCCGAGTAGACCCCGTTGATCCTGAAACAAGCACTGAAGTCCTTATAAAGAGACCCTATTGCCTGTATCAAACCAACGCTCAACCGAAATGAGTTCAGTGTTTGCCATAACACATTCCTGTCCACTCTGTCATAAGCATAAGCCTTTTCCAAGTCCATGAACGCATAAAAAACTTTCTGGTTGTTGGCCAAAAACTTGTCCGCGATCATGCGCATGGAAATAACTTGATTTGTACACCCCATTCCCTTTCTAAATCCAGCTTCCACATTCCAATTTTTTCCGTCAGTTTCTGTCATAACTCTTTCAATTAACATCTTAGCATACAGTTTATCCACAATGCTAAGCAAGCTAATACCACGGTAGTTTTTACAGTCCTGGTGTGACCCTTTTTCCTTATACATTGGGGCTATATCGGCTTTGCACCAGTCTTCCCGTACCCGCTTCAGTTCCCAACATAAATTAAACAAGGTGTAGAGCAGGCCTGCCACCACTCCCTCTCCAGCCCTTAGCATTTCTAGTGATAGATACTCTATCATATCCAGCTGCCTTACCTGCTTTTCGTTCTTTCATTATTTAATCTACACTTATCTCCCTACCTCTTTCCGCTTCTTTCGCAATTTCTGGTTCTTTTAATTCAGACGACTCATCACTCATAAATACGCTTTCAAAGTATATCTTCCATCCCTTTAAACTCGAAACTTCGTCATTCAGCATACAGCCATTCTCGTCTCGTATAGCATTCATTCTAGGCTGATTTGAATTTCCTCCTGGGCGTTCTTACGAATCTCCAGAACATTTTAATATTTGCCTGAAAGTTATCAGATATCCTTTTCTATCATTCTATAATGATTTCTTATATTTACGCGAACACTACACATTTAAATAAAACTAATTTTACGGATTTTATCGCGTATATTAACTTATTTTATATTTCCAACGTTCCGAGCACTTTCCAGCACCCATAGTCACGGGGGGGACTAAGGTGTATGATGTCCCAATGTCATAGATAACAAAACTATATTTTTTGTTTTAAGTTAATATACGCGATAAAATCCGTAAAATTAGTTTTACTTCTATCGTTCTTATCCGTATTTTCTTGCTTTTTCCTTTCAACTACTTATTTTACTCTCTTATTTAGACGTCTAGTCTGCCTTTTTTCTTTCTATCTTATTATTCATACCCTCAGAAATGAGGGGAGGCCTGTGCCCAGTAGCGGGACGTATATCTATAGGATGTAACTTTAACATACCTGAGTACATTAATTCTCATGATAATATTAGTATTTACAACTTGATTATTACCGTTACAGCCTATTATCTAAAGTCCACTGCTGAACATAGGCCTCCTACTCCTATAGATTGCCTCATAGGGGATATTTGCCGTAGTTGCCACGCTTGGCAAGCGGGTTGGCGACCGCAGTTTTTTATTTTTAGTCGTTATTAGGATGACGCTGCTGCCCATCTGATTTGTTTCCTCTCTGTCGCCTCTTATGACACACACGGAATGATATGGAGTAAGGTGCTTTGGGGTTATTGCAAAAATGGGGGAATGTCAATATATAGACCGCCTCAATGTCAAATATATAGACATAGTCCAGGAGGAATAGGCGCATGAGTACCGAAAACTATTCCACATCAATTTTTTTTATGTGATTCCCTTCAAATTGTCCTACTGACGATATAAATGCATGTTGCCATGGGGAAACTCGGTGCCGTAGGTGTTATTTAAACTTGAATTGCTATTTTCAAACGGGACTATTTTTTTATATTCTTTGATAAAATGCGAATAAAAAATGTTCCGTGAATTTTTACGATAAAGTTAATATCTTCAAAGCTATGAATTGTTGGCTTGAAAAATCTCAATTTCGGATACTTTTGAGCCATTAAAATGCATAAAGAAAAAGAATAAAGTGTAAACAATATTTTTTTATATTTCTTGGCAAAATGAAAATAAAAAAGTCCTACGACGTTTTACAATAAAGTTAATATTTTCGGAGTTATGAGTTTTTAAATGTTTGAAAAATCCTGAATTATACAGTCGATCTGGCAGATTTGCCTGTTGAACGTCCGCGCGATCTCATTTTGTCTGCACGGGCACAGACATGCCCGAACGTGAATGTTAGCTGCGGGCTGTCTGTTCTGTGAACGTGTCTGTTCACAGAACAGACAGAAGAGCGACAGCGACAGCAACCAGTGTAGAGGACCTTTTATTATTATTTAAAACATTGTTGATCTTTTAATTTGCAATAACTTTTAAAGATAATAAATTATTCTGGTAAGAGAATAAAATATTCTGAGAAAAGAGTCTTATCAGTTGTAATAAAAATTCAAACGGCTCTATAACTATGCGCAAGTAATTGTACAGGTCTCCTGTTTCATCAATTTGTAATTCTTTAAGTAAACTGATATGGCTAAACTTATTTCTATTTTTATACTATTCTTTGCACAAAGTGCTTTCTTTTGTATTGATGCAGCACCAGCTACTATTATAATTTTTCGTCGTTTCGTTGTCATCTTAATGTGCACCCACAACTAATCACGTAGCCGATCTAAAACAAACTGATGGGTCTGTGTAGTGTATTTTGGCGACAGACATGTCCGTACAAAAATCCCGTGGGCATGTCCGTCTAGTGAATTACCCGCTTTACGTTAAGCAGTTCACTAAGCTTGGGTTACTAGACAGATTCTAGGCAGGGAGAATTTGGCATAATCACTAAGTATTCAAGCAAATTGGTAATCACAATTGAGGTTTCGTAACTTTAACGCTGCGCTGCTTTCCTTCCCGTATCGGTATTTTATTCTGTTACTACATATTGTACTATATTTCATCTTTAGGGCACTTCATTAATTTGCTTATTACAACATGAGTAATTAAGTCAAGAGGCGATGTGTATCAATGTCGCCGCCACATGGCAAATGTCAAAAGGTCGGTTGTCTGACAAATTCTGTAAAATCTACTACTAAATGGCGGAAGAGCGGTCTTTTAAAATTATCATATCAATGGATCCAAGGTCGGCACCATTTATATGCCGAACCGACATTATCCCATTTGCCAAATCCTGGATTTGTGATGAAATTACAATCTGGAGAACTGCATCAGGTTGTATTATTAATATATAAAATACTAGCTGGCCAGGCCTTTCCATCGACCCATTTTCCTTTAAATTCGCAAAAAAATAATATTGAGGGTCCACTTAACGGGATAAAAACTATCCAATTTGGAGCAAGCAATACACATTTACGAAGTTTCATTAAAATCGGTTGAGTGGTATCGGAGTTCATCGCGGATAAACAATGTGACACGTAATTTTTATATATAAAGATTAGTTTCCTACAGATAGCATCAAAGTTCCAAAAATCTTTTAGGTTTTTAAGCATATCGCTTAAAAATATTTACCAATAAATATAACTATTATTGACCATTCATCAAGAAGATACATCAATTTAAGTACCTACTTTCTATGATTAAAGTTGGCAAAATATTACATCGCGTACATCCGCTCGATAAAATAAAATGATGTGTTTTACCTAGTTTGAAGAGCAAGGTAACGCAAGGAAAAGATAAGGTCTTCAAACTAGGTAAGACATCATTTTATTTTATCGCGCGGATGTACGCGAAGTAATATTTTGTCAACTTTAATATAATGGACTTCCGCAAAGTAACGCCTGATTCTATTAAATAACTTTCTATGATGTCACAATGAAACAATTTTAAAGAAATATGATAAATAAAAATATAAGCATGAAAATTGTAAAAAAAAAGTTTATTGTATACAAAAATATAATAAATTATTATATTAAGAGATTTAAAGCATAAAGAAACACAACCTAAATATAGTATGTACTTGAAATATGATAAAACTATGAGGAACTTTTACTGAGTGCTCTATCCAATTAATGTTTAACCCATAGAATTATTACGCATAGAATACTAGTAGGCGCACCGAAAGTGATGCAAGTAAAACTAACTCGAAACCGCGTAAGTTGACTCAGCGACGCGTCAGTGCGCAACGTCACGTCTAACGGAGAAGAGCTCGCGAAAAATTGTAAAAATTACCGTTTGTATTGTAAAATATTATCACAACGGTGATGATAAACATAAAAGAAGTAATGGTATTACATTTCACATATAAGTTTATACATTTAACTCATTATAAGTACGTAAAACTAAAAAAATACTTATCTAAGCTCTCATAATACAAATGTTGCTAGTTGTGGGGAAAAAATCACAATTTTCTTTTAAAAATATTTATTTTCTATTTGTGTTTAAAACGTTTAATCGCAACGCTCTGTGTGAAACTCAAATGTTTATATATAGATACCTACTTCTCTAAGTGTTAACATTATATTAACAATGGGTGCCTATTTAAAACTAATACGGAATGATCAGTTAATCGCGATTCGTCGACGCCATTTTAACGCGACTATTTTATTTTAATTGCTTTTTTATTGACTAAGGTTACGTTTTAGAGTATAGAATAAAAACTTTTTTATTTACAACATCATGAGATTATTAATAAGAACGCCTTTACTAACCAGATGTCACTTTACACCCAAACATTAACCAGATGTTACGTTAGACCCAAACATAGCCTATTTTGTACACTGATTTCTAAGCTTGATCAATTCGTATATACATGCTGAAATTTTAGTGATTGTTGTCCCGCAGCCAAATTATACTGTCTCGATAGTAGAGTCAATTTATTAAATTAAAAAAATATTACAATTAAAAAAGGGCAGATTTACTATAGTAATACCTCACAAGCTATTCGGGCGTCCAAACTAGTTTATGTCGTATCACTACGCTTGAGAGTTCATGTTATGAACATTTATTAGTGGTCCTTCACTGTGTAGGAAGCGCGCGGTAGCACGTGCGACAGACGTAACACTACATTACGTCCAGCGAATTTTTTTTCAGACTTTATTATAGTAATTCGGTATAAGCTAGCCTATACGCCCGACCTACTTGCGAGATATTGCTATTGGTTTGAGATCGCATTCGAGTATTGTTTTTCTCGATTGTAAATCTGCCATTTTTACATCTATTCTATTGTACTACTAAGGCAAAATCATTTTACTTCGGGAAAATAACCATTAAAATTTCAACGTGTGTATTGTGGATCAATCTGTGTGTATATCCTTTCAAAAAAATCTAAATCGGTTTAGAAATTGTAGAATTCTGAGGTAAAAAACATTAAAAAATACACCGAATTGATCACCTCCTCCCTTTTTGAAGTCGGTTAAAATTAAACATTACACGATGTGCTTATTGTATTCAAGCAAATTAATTGTGTTTAATAATATTCTTAAATTTTATTACGTCTGCATTTTTTACCATTAATATATGTATAATTAAGTTATATTAGTAAAATCATTATCGTGTTTATTTTATTCCATTTTATATTCTCATAAAATACTTCTACTAAATAATCTTCGTACGTAATACGTAATCTTTATTATATCGATTTTTTAAAATTAATAAAAAAATAGTGATTTGTACAATTTCATTGCAAACGCCAGAAACTGGTATCACTGAATGGCGTGTATGTGTGCGTGTGACGAGCGTAGGCACATTCGACTCGCGCCCACTAACATAATGACTTTGCATCATTTTAACGCTCGTGTTTTGTACTAGACTTCGTTTCTATGCGTAATAATTCTATGGTTTAACCTTATATCACAAACAGTAAAAATTTTGTAATACTTATTCACTCTTTCCATTCAATTTCTGTGTACATCCCCGAGAAGGAAAATCCGCCAATGCCATTGACACATGACAACAACAATACAATGATATACCTAATAACATAGAATTCCAAAGAGAAGGATTTATAAAACATTCAAAAAATAAATTACCAATTTCAGTACCAGCAAATAAATAAAAATTGGAAATAGCTGACAAAGCTAATAATGGTGTACATAATAATGCAATAAAATATGCCTCTATTTTATCAGTTTTTAAAATGTTTATCTTAAACCATTCATACATCCTGTGCCTTGATAATTCTTTACCCACATGTTCTAGGATAATACCCAAGTAATTTAAAATTGACCAAATAAATATATGCCAAACTGTTCCATGCCACATAAATATAAACACAAATGTGGCAAGTGAAGCAATAAGCCGATGAGCTATTTTTGGTAGTTTAGTTAATGTTGAAACTATAGTAAGACCAGGCTTGTAGATATACCTGCAAATAGATATATAACATAATATAAAATACACAAGTTGACAGAAAAATTAAGAAAATAGACAATATAGTGGAGTGGTCCTTAAGTGTAGCTAAAATAAATTAATCCCTTCAAATATAAAAGATTCAATTAGAGCCTTGGTGTTTTTAAAAAAATAAATTAAAAAAATTGTTTTTATTTACTTATTTAAATTTTTCTTGCATTACATCTATAAGGAAGGATTTTTTTATAGAATCAGGGTGACAAACGAGCAATCAGTCCACCTGATGGTAGGTGGATGCTGTGGCCCATAGACAACTCCATTTATCCTCGATTAAGAATCAAAATGCAGATGAGTTGAGGACTAAGATAAAATGCTTCATTTCCAGTAAAAAATGGGAGAAGGGTCTCCAGTTCTCTACACCCACCATACAAAACACAGCAGCATTAAGATAATTTTATGCTGGTATTTTGTGAGATAAAGGGTGGACGATATAAAGGATATGTGGACGATGTGAAGGATATAAAAAAAATCTCTTTATTCAGTCAACCCAAGGAGCGATGAGAACTTTATGTAGATGTTGCAATTCAAAAAAAGGTGCAGTAGCAAGGGCATAAGAAAGGTCATGCCAACTTTTTACCAAAATGCCATTCCTACTTACTTCATGTGCACCTTGCTGTTGGACAAATGACTCATGATAAAAGAACATCCAAATATATTGAACCTTCATACCAGACTGTTGTTGGGGGCAGTATAATATACATTATGGACTCACCAACCATTAGTAATGAGAAAGAAACCAACAAGAAATTGGTTTTGTAGTATTCTTGAAAAAACCAACAAGAGAGTGTTTATTGGCATATTTTGGAAAAGGAATACATCCAGGTGTCAGCAATTCAATAGTTTAATACTAATGAAGTGTCCTGGCAAAGACAGATGTATGGTGCTTATTTATTATGGTGCTTACTTATTATAAGATGCTACTTACTTTACAAGGAATCTATAAAGCCCAACATCAAAATGTCTCCACATTTGTGAATAGATATGAACTCTCGCAATACACCTTGGCATTGGGGGTGGCTCAATGTTGTCAAGTCTTGCAAATGCTGTAGTAGTGCCATATGATATTACATACTTCATATGAAATTCCAACCCCATCCAAAGACCTCCACCACATAGGGCTGTTGTGGGCAGTTTTCTTACAAGCTAGAAAGAAATAATGATTTTTAATTTTTGCTAATTAAAAAAATACACACAAACTTTCAATTCATACCTCCATATTATCCTGCATAGCAAAGAAATATATATAATGAAAAGCTATATCTAAAATGAAGGAGTAAAATTTTAATAAAGTCAAATCCCAAATAAATCTCTTCACTCTCAATGTTAAGCTTTCATACTTGACATTAAAGCTCTTTTCAAATTCTTCATAAAGTATAATTGGTCCTGTGTATAAGAGTGGTAAATATAATATGTAACTAAACATATTTACAACATCATTATAAAAGAAAAAATTATGTATTTTGTTTGTATCCCTCTTATCTATATAATCAATAGTGTAACTAATACACCGCAATTCGATCCAAGCCACACTGAATAACATGAGGTAAACTTCTTCATCTTGCATTTCTTCATGGTCCAAGAAATTCCAGAAATAATATTTATACTTTAAGGAATTGTAACTTGCAAGAAGCAATATACTAGTCATCCAAATACTTTGTTTATTACCACCTAACATTATAATTATACCATATAACATTGGCTGGATTAAAATTATAATCATCTGTCGGACACCCATGTGAGAAGCGATAAAAATTACACTTGATAAGATGTACCAATGTTTCAATATTGGTAATGAGAACTTTCGTATGATTTCAGATATAATAAATTGTATTATCAGGTAATAAAAGGATATATGAATAAAATATTTCCAGCTACTCCATTCAATGTCTGATTCATCTTTAGGTCGTTGTATAAACCTCAAACCAGGTTTAAGATCTTTGAGTAATTTCATTTCTTGACCGTTTTGTGGTAAAATTTCTGAAAGTGAAATAAAAACTGATAAAACCCCCACTCCCTTACATCAAAATGAATGACAAGTAAAACCAAATAGTTATTACCTGTTTGTGCTTCAAATAACATAAACAAGGAATACAAATTTGCACATATCCAGACACAAAAGCATATAAAAAGTTCTATGCAACATAATTTACTTTTCATTTTTTATTCTCTTTACACTTTTTACTTAAAAGTTTGTTTCTTTCATTGATTATCCATTGCAATTCAATTTTACCGGCGATTTACATCTTTCAATTTAAATTTTGAATTCAAATCAAAAATTGTAATCAAACCTTTGACATTTTGTGTTTTTTTATTACTACTGGCAAAGGTATCTCAGGCTGTACAGTCTAACTGGAAGTGGCTTATTCAAAGAGTATAGTAACAGTCAGGCTTATTTTATAAAATTAATTATAATATGTTGATGCGTCACATGCTAAGTCTAGGATTTTGAAGACAGCTGCTTAACTTGACGGACAGTTGAAGACAGACTTAGAATATACTGGCGTATAGACAACCTGACAGACCGAAAACGCATGACTAATTTTAATATGTCATTGTGTGCGTTAGTTAGTGATGTATACATTTTACTTACAAGGACTATCGATAAATAATTGTTAAGAAAGAAATAAACAGATTAAGAAAAAATAGTTAAGTGCACTAAACTAAATAACTTCAAAAATTAACAGAATTTTTTCATGATAGTTCTAAAATTATTAAAAATGTACAAAATCCCAATAATCTCTGAAGAGGTGAGTCCACTGATAAACTTAAAAAAAACTCCAAGGATCAGATCGGAAAGTTGTATTTTCGAGCTTGTTGTTGATTTATGGTCTTTGGAGAAAAATATTTACTGCCTGTTAAAAAAGTAATTCCGGGGAAACTGTCCATAGTTTCCCCGGAATTACTTTTTTAACATAATGATAATCAAATATAAATATCCTTTTTTTAGGCCTTCGATCGGGGCTGACACAAAACGCTTTTTTCGAAGCTCCCTTCCTATGGGCTTCCCGAGAAATTGTGCAATTGCAGATCGGAGCATCAAAGTCGTTGTAGACGGTGCATGCTCCAACTACAAGCCTATTAACGCTGGTGTTCCACAATGCTGCGTGCTATCACCATCGCTGTTTCTTCTGTATATCTATGATATGTTGCAAACTGGTAACATTCATTGCTATGCAGACGATAGTACTGGTGATGCCCTCCCTATACGCCGGCTGTACCAATATTGCTCGGCGAAACGTCACAGAGTACCGGGACAAACTTGTGTCTGGAGTTGAGTCTTTGCTGAACAAAGTCTCGGATTGGGGGCGACTAAATCTAGTCCAGTTCAATCCCCAGAAGACACAAGTTTGCGAGTTTACCGCTAAAAAGAACCCCTTTGTCGTATCTCCTCAGTTTCAAGGCACTCCCCTTGCTGCCTCAGCTAGCATCGGAATCCTCGGCGTCGATATATCGAATATTGTGCAGTTTCGTGGTCACTTGGAAGGGAAGGCCAAATTAGCCTCTATAAAGTTTGGCGTGCTCAACAGATCGAGGCAGTATTTCATGCCGGTACATCACTTGTAACTTTACAAAGCCTCACATGGAATACTGTTCTCATCTCTGGGCAGGGGCACCCCAGTGCCAACTCCTTCCACCTCACCGCATCCAGCGCAGAGCGGTTCGAATCGTTGACGACCGAGTTCTTTCCGATTGGCTCGATTCACTTGCGCTGCATAGGGATGTTGCATTCCTTTACAATTTTTATCGCATTTTACTTACAAAATACATGTTTTATTTTTCTTCTGAAAGGGTTATTGAGCTGCCGTATAATTCACAAAAAGCGGTAAAACCCTGAGCTATGATAATAAAAAATAATGTAATCTTATAGTATATAAAATCTATTTGATTTACGTTTTTTTGAGGCTCTTTCATGAAAAAATATGTCTACCACGGGGCGGGCTCTGAGGAATTGTTCGGATTAATTTCAGCCGCCAAATTTCACAAACGCACATGGCGTCAAAATTCACGATACCATCTTCACCATCTGGATGCTTGGCGGTCCACCACTGTACATTTTACTAGGAGTTTTCTTCCTCGTACAACTTCTCTGTGGAATTGTTTACCACCAGCGATTTTTCCGGACTGATATGACTTAGGGACGTTCAAGAAAAGAGCTTACTCCTTTCTTAAAGGGAGGCAACGCACTTGCAATTCTCCTGGTATTGCGGTTATTCATGGGCGGCGGTAGTCACTTACCATCAGGTGAGCCGCATGCTCGTTTGCCCCCTCTTCTATAAAAAAATATACGTGGATACTTAATTAAGTATATACCTATTTATATTTTATAAAATGTTTTACTGGTAAAATAAAAAACAGGGACACTGAGTGCATAATGGCTGCTTTATTTTTCATATAAGATTATTTTTAATAAGTACAATTAACATTTAGTAATTAAAAACGTTAAAATAAACTTCTATAATGAATTATACGACTTAAATATGAATGTAAACTTAAAATTTCAATACGGAAACTTGTAGGAATCAGTAAAAATAGTTTGCTCTGTTTAAAGACCAATGTGTTATGAGGCTACTCTCTCTTTCATCCGTCTCTGAAAAATATAAAGTAATAATAAACTTATTCTCATTTTCGTTGCACGGATTTTAAAAACGGAATGATCTTAATAGAGACTAAACAAATACGCTGGAAATATTAAGGTTCACCAAGTGTCTGAGAAATTAAATATATTTACTTCATTGACGTTTAAAAGTAAAATTTCTTTTGTAAAAAATATCTACAAAATCTATTTCTATTTCGTAATGCGGTTCCTCTAACCGGCAAAGAAATGGCGAAAGAAACTCCGCAGGTATTCTCTTTTACGTCAATTTTTTAATGTTAATATTATTATAGCATTATGCGTATTATATAATCCTACTAGTAGTCAAGCACTCGCAAAATAGTGAAAAAGAAAGGAAAACAAATAGGACGTAAACGGAAGTATGTTTAATGTATGTAAATATGTATATTATATTACACTCAAACAATGAACCTTAAAAATTTAGAGCTCATAATTGCAGGGCTAACTTGAGCAGAGCAACATCCACAAGCAGCTCCTATTTACCCCAGACATTTTCCATGAAAGTTTCCATGAAAGTCATTAACTGATTATAAATCGAATTCGGCTTCGCATCTTCGCCAAAGTAACAGTTTCAACGAAGTGGTGTGGAGAATTTAACTGCCGACACCAATGCTGTCAATCACAGATATCTTCAAGATGATCATAAGCAGCATCAATTTTTTAATATAAAAAAGATTTGGCAGAAAAAGAGGCGTGAGCATTTCACTTATGCCTGCGATGGAGAGCCGCATCAAAATCGCGAAACATCTGATAATGCGTCGTAACTCCGCCCAAACTCCGCCTGTCAAGCATGATAATTATGGCAAATATTCGTAAAGAGTTACGAGAGAGGTCCATGTCCTAATGACAATTAATTATATTTAGGGATAGTGTGCGTAACAATATTTAGGAGGTATCGTAGTAGGATACAAAGTTTAAAATATGATTTAGCGGGTAAGGTCTAAAGAGTAGGTAAGCAAAAGATAGGACGGATATTATTTTGTGATAGGGCTGAAGTTAGTTGCGAATGGCTGCGCAGTTATAGTTTTTAGGAACAAAATGGCGACAAGAGGAGAGAGAGGGAGAGAAAGGAATAGATTATTGTTAGTATCGATTATGATTCCATTTTATTTTATACTTTTCACAGTTCATTAGTGTGTAAACGCAATATGGAATTTTTAATACAGTGATTATGATGATGCCCATTAAATATTTTATTGAAAATTTGAAATTATATTATTTTTGGGTCACTGAAAGGTGAAAGCATTTGTTGTCCCCGCTAATATGGTGTATTTACTATATATTCAAACTGTTTATCGTAAATATTTATTAAATACTATTGTTTTATTGAAATACATAAAGATATTCTCTTTATGGTAATAATTTTCAATTTATTATATTATCACATAGAATAAATAGAAAATTATTACCATATAGACAAAATAAAGTGTTTGCCTAAGCAATCTTAGGAGCGATATAAAGTGGCACGTCTCTACTCTCTATCGACTCGCGTCTGTATATCACAGAACACACATGTACATGCGCGAATATCTAGGAAAGCCAATTTCAGCCCAGCCAAGGTAAAACGCGCAGACCGTAGGCATAATTTAAAATGCGTTCGAAGATTAAAAATCAACCGATCTAATTGCAAATTAACAACTGTACTAATAGTCGTACTAAGCAACTTTTACGAAGATTCAAAATAATTAGAACTCACGACAATTTTACTCCGACCTCCAAATCAGCGGGAGTGCAGTGGAGCAAAAAATTATCGCCGGTGGCGACGCGACGCACAGACGCGACGCGGTGAAAAATTCCAAATGGCCTTCAAACATATTTTTTTATAGAATGGGGTGACAAACAAGCACACAGTCCGCCTGATGGTAAGTGGATGCTGTGGTCCATAGACATCTACATTTATCCTCAATTAAGAATCAAAATGCAGATTCGCTGTCACTCCTGGCCCTGAGGACTGAGATGGAATGCCTCGTTTCCAGTAAAAAGGGTCTCCGGTTCCCTACACTCACCATACGATACACAGCAGCATTAAGCTGCTACTTTACGCTGGTATTATGTGAGAGCATGGTCATACCTCGGTCAAGCCAACCCATTCGTGCTACAACCACAGTATCACAGACTACCTTTGTATAAACCACAATATGTATAACTGCAGCGTGACTCTACCACGTATATTGATTGTAACAATAATTTTAGAAAAGGTCTAACTTATAAAAGTTAGATTCCTTTTCTAAAGTTATTTATGTACTTTCTAGTGGTAGGTAACTTTATGGATAAACCCCGTCCCTCTGTTTTAGACTAAAATATTAAAATATATAATATTGTATTATTTAGGCTAAGCAATAAAACTAATGCATCAGCATTTTTATATAAGTTCCTAGAACTTAGTTGATGAGTTCAATGTCTGCACACGAACGGACTTTGAATATTATTCATTATTAAAGCCACCTTCAAATCGGTGAGACGTACTTAGTACCTAATCTTATTGTATTTTAGTTTTTAAAAACTCCTTTCGACGTTTCCGAAATTTGACTAGGTATTCCAA